GCTTTTGTTGTAATCAATCAATCCCCTGAACCCCGAGTTCAGGGAGTTTCAGAGTTTTATACCCAGCATGTAAGGGGAGGAGCTCAGAAGTTCACAGTCTGCAGAAGTTCAGAGAAAAGCAGCTTTTTCTTTCACTGTTCTGGGCAAGTTAACCCTTCAACACCTGAGAAGGGGAGAGCTTCTTGTCCCCTTTCTTTCCTCCCCCTGCCAGCTGTTACCGTGGAGCCCATTTGTAACTTATCTTAAAAAATGTAGACATCTCTGTGAAGCCCAGCTCAAGGCCAGAGGCCTTGTTTGCACATTTCTACAAAGTACTGTTGGGAGTGTGTCCCCCCCACCCTCCAAAGACTAACTTCCCCATCCCCCAAGAAGAGCCGTCCAGTGGGGAGCCCTGCTGGCTCACCTGATCCTTACCCTCCAATCAGACTAGCCTGGCTGGCTCACCTGATCCTTACCCTCCAATCAGACTAGCCCTGCTGGCTCACCTGATCCTTACCCTCCAATCAAAAAGCATCCCATGCCAACTGTCAAACCACCCCTGGCTCTATAAATATGCAGAGCTGTTCCTCAACAAACCGGCATTTGCTCTGATGACGAGAGAAGCCTTGTTCGTTCTTTCAAGTACTATACTGGATATGTTTCTGAAAAACTAATAAGGGGGTGTATCTTCTCAGCCAGTGGCCAAGTAAACAGGGCGACACGAAAATAGGAAGTTTATCTACATTGGACTCTTTCACAGAGACTCTTTTGCTGACAGTCCTAAAATCAGCCATGGTGAAGAGGGCTTTTCTGTGGAGGGAGGGGGCCACTTCAGTGGGAGTCTGAGAAATCTGATTCCGCCTTCCAGATCTCAAGCACATTCTCTCTTCCCTGAATTTGCCCCTAGACGCAAGTTTCTTATCTCCATCTCCTGAGAGGTTTTCATGAGCTTCTTTTAAGGACACAGTGTACACCAAGAAAATAAGAAGCAGAAGGTCACCGGGATAGTGAAGACATTTAGCAAAGAAATTTAAGAGGGAAAAAAATATAAAGTTAGTTAAGTGATAAATTTTTAGTATAATTTTTGATAACCAGTATAAAAGTAAATTCTGTAAATAATGATATGGGTGTGTTTATGGGAAGAAAGAATTTTGGGGCTCTGGTTTGTCTTTAGAACCCTGCAAGGAGTCCACAAAGGGCATTGCTGGCCAGTTCCTGAGTGGTAACAATTTATGTCTGGAGCAAGTGGGCAAAGCATGTTTCCTCCATATTGCAGAATAAAGCCGTGCTTCCTGAACAAACAAACAAACAAACCCCAACTAGGAATGGAACCACCATATGACCCAGCTATCTCACTCCTCAGTATATATCCAAAAGATCTAAAATTGGCATGTTACAGGGATGCAGACACATCAATGTTCACTTTTTTCCTTTTATAATACTTTTTCAGAATTTATTAGTTGTTCTTTTTATTTAATTGATTTTAATATTTTTTAAAATACACGACACACATCAATATTCCTAGCAGCACAATTCACAATAGCCAAGATATAGAACCAATCGAGGTGCCCTTCAACAGATGAATGGTTAGAGAAAAAGTGGTATAACACACAATGGAGTATCATTCGGCCATGAAGAATATGAAATTATGGCATTTGCCAGTAAGTGGATGGGACTGGAGACCACTGTGCTAAGTGAAATGAGCTAGACCCAGAAAGTCAGAGGCCATTTTTTTTCTGATATGTGAAAGCAAGTCCAAACTGAGGGGAAGAAAAAGGAAAAGAAAAGTGGGGCAGGGGGATCCATCAAAATAGAAGAGTAGAGGGAGTAGAGGGAGTAGAGGAGGGGATTGAGAGGGAGGGAGGAGGGATGGGATAAGGGAAACACAGTGGGGTGAATCCGACCTAACTTTCCCAGGTACATATATGAATACACCATAGTGAATCTCACCACTGTGTATAGCCACAAATTCCTATTTTTTTTAAAGTTGTAAGTTAATAGCAGAAGATAAGTAGAGAGAAGGGAACAGCAGAAGGAGGAGTGGAAAGACAGGGCAAGCACTGCAGACTAAATCAGAGAAAATTCTATTCCATGCTTTAGTAATTATGTCCAAATGAATATTAACATGATATATAACTAAAAAGAATCAATAAAAAAGAAATTAAAACAAGCATACTTGAATTGATGAATAAATAAACTGGCAGGCAATTTTTTAAAAATATATTACATAAATGAAGAGACAGGCAGATGAAGAACCAATATTTCACACTGTGCATTTTATTTCTTACAAGAGTGAATGTTTCCTGTCAAAAGTATTACTTTGAGGTCCAGGGTGGTGGCTAAGTGGTAGAGCACTCGCCTAGCACATGTGAGGCAAAAAATAAATTTTTATAAAAACTATTACATTGATAATTTGAGGCCCCATCTGTCAGAGTCTCACCTACTAATTCTGGAATGGTTCCATGGGTATCTAATATGCCTGGAGCTGAGACCCACTTTGAAAATGTCTTCACTTGTAGGTTGAGGTGTGATCTCTGTAGGAACCTGACCAAATTCACCTCGCTGCACACCGAATAACCTTGAGCAAGTGATTTGTTCTCTATCATCCTTAAGAATGAAGTGAAGGTGAATTGGGCGTTCAGCTGGGGGAGCTGCAGCATCACCTTGTCCCCCCCCCAACAGTGTCTACTTCTGTGAACAGGAACAAAACTTCAGTGTCGGTGGAGTTACCAGGCCACAGTTGTTCTGTGGAAGATGTCCAACCACACCCATATCTTACATGAAAATATTCTCACCTGTTTCTATAAAAATTAAATATTTAGCCCAAAAGCTAATGGATGAAGAGTAACTGGACTTTTAATTGACAGTGATATCTGAAGCCATTTTGTTCTGACATGAAAATGTAATGTGAGACTTAAATATAATTTTCACCTGTGAAACATTTCAGATAGTTAGAAACTTGAAGTATGTGTGAGAATATAAGCAGTGATTATTAAGACATGTGTGGATTGTAGGTGATTTTATTCCTTCCATTTCCTTATAGGATTTTCCCCTATGGATAGGCATTGTTCTGGAATATGAAAAGCACTTGAATGGAGACTGCTACAGGCAAAGTAAAACGACTGTGATTTTCCACTTACACTATGTATTTTTTTTCACCTCATTTTTCAGTGTCAGTTGTTATTTTACAGCCTGTGATCCTCCCAGGTCCTGGATCTGTGGCCTCCTGAAAAGCACTCAGTCCTTGCACTGTGTCCTGATGAAGACCCCTACACAGAGGAGCCAGTCGTGAGGCAGCCGCTGTCCCTGGTGCTGAAGGGGAGGCCCCGTCGGGCCCCTCACCCTCAACCCTGCTCTGCAGTCACTATTCAATCAAGCCCAGGGCCACTTCCATTTACTCCCTGGAACTTCTAGATGAAATGGAAGTCCTGGTAGTGCCTCTCTAAAATATATATGTTTATATATATTTATTTATTTATTTATTTATTTATAGATATATTTTTATTTATATATTTATATATAAATATATTATGTATTATATATTATATAAATATATTTATATCTATATATAAATATCATATATATAATATTTTAAAAATATATTTATATATTTTTTCCAGTTCTAAGCTTCAGGCTCTTGTCAGACCAACTTGCAGTTTCTCAGATTTAAAATATAGATATTTAGAAACTTGCCAGTCATGGTGGCACATGCCTGTAATCCTAGCAGCTTGGAAGACTGAGGCAGGAAGATCACCAGTTCAAAGCCAAACTCAGCAACTTGTCAAGGTCCTAAGCAACTCAGGGAGACCCTGTATCTAAATAAAACATTAAAAGGGGCTGAAGATGTGGTTCAGTGGCTAAGTACCCCTGAGTTCAAACCCCAGCACCAAAAAAAAAAAAAAAAAAAGCTGGCTGAATATTCCAATGGTTTTCTCCAATAGATGCTAGCCACACTTTTCAAAACTCGAACTCCTCTTTTGGGCTGAGGATATGGCTCAGTGTGACTTTAAAACATTTCAAAACCTAAAATGTAATGCCAAAAAGAAGAGAGAAAGAAGAAAACTAATTTTCATGGACTGTGGGTGCTTAAGAGATGTGGATGTGGATGCTTGGTTCAGTTGTGTTGTGCATGTAAACTTGTTCAATCTTCAGAATATACTAGTGGGGTGGGGTACTATTAGGTGGTAAAGGAACTGGGGCTTCGAAAACTAAACAATAAAATATGAAGCTCTGTTTTAATGATCTTGTGATGAAAGGGAAAAAAATCAAAGACAAGGAGCAATACAAGAAGGAGAATTTTTAAGAAGGTTCTTCTCACATAAGAACCTTAATGATCTACATCTCCCAGGGAGAGAGCAAATTGAAGCCAAGAAGCCACACAAGTGTTTGGTCAGCTTGTGTTTAAATGGCCTCAGTGACCTTGGGCACCACAAGCCCGGAACTTGGTTTAACATAATCCTCAAGCACAAGGGCTCCAAGGACACCTCTACAGAAAACTGCCTTTTTCAAATTCTACAAATATTCTTTCAAATCTGTTAGCAAATACCCAGGCGAAGATAAGCAGGAACACAAAAATCAGGGCCCCCATGAGTGAAAATCAGCAAAAACGACAGGCAATGTAATAGATGCACAGATACCACAATGATCAGACACACTGTAAAACAACCAGGCTTGTTAGGTTTAATGAACATAGTAATTTAGTAACCATAGAAACAGTAAAACTCCTGAGGTGAGAAAAGATTGGGTGTATTAAGAAGATCAGAATAAAGTCAGGATGGCAGAAATGTTAGTACTATTAATTGCCTGCATTTACAAGAGTCTCAACACGGCCTTCAATCCTGGTTCCTCTCCTGCTCAAACACCTCCCATGGTTGCCTTTGGTCCACACGATGAAATCCATATTTGAGCAACGGGAGAACCTGCCATCAGCGCGGGGCGCTGTAGTCAGCCAGGGACGCTGTCACGGTCTTGGGCTCAAAGACCTCAGCCTCGCCTTCCCCCAACCCACGCGCCCCGTCACCTCTGTCCCCCTGCGCCCGCTGCTGGCGCTCGGTAAAGTTCAAGCACAGGTGATCACCATCTTATTCCCGGGAATCTGCAAAGGTGGGTGGGCGGGTGTTGTGTCCCAGGACAGCTCTCTGAGGGTCACTCCGCACCCGCGCTCAGCGGCTCCAGGCGCAGCCAGAGCCCGCCCTCGGCGCGCAGGATCAGCTCGGGCTTCCTGCGCGGCTCGGTGTCGTCGGGCAGGACGCGGAAGCGCAGCAGCGTCAGCGCCAGCCCCACCTTCATCTCGTTCATGGCGAAAGTCTGCCCGATGCAGTTCCTGCGGGCGGGGTGGGGACTCTCACTGTGTCGGGATCCCCATCTGGGCTGCATCCCACCGCTACGAGCTGGGGACCTCCCACCCACCCACCCAGATCAAGCTGAGGGGCAGCGAGGGACGCTGACGCGCCTGGACCACTGTGGGCGTCCCCATGTCCCGGGGCCTGGCCCAGACTCCTGCCCCAGCTCGCACCAGCAGCAGGGAGGGGACTCTGCCACACACACCCCTTTCCTGGGATCCCGTTCCAAACCTCGAGCCCCGACGCACGCGCCCCACAATCAGGCATGGGGCGTTCGGACGAGGCCCCCTCTGCACACCCTCACCCATCCCGCCTCCATGCCCGCTGCCCTCACCTGGGCCCCGCCGAGAAGGGAATAAAAGCCAGAGGTGACCTCTTCTGGGGGCTTTCTGGGTCAAAGCGCGAGGGGTCATAGACCTGGGGACAGGGCAAGAGAGGGCTGCTGGGAGGGGCCTCTTGGCAGGCACACCAGCCACCCCGGGGGAAGTCGGGCAGGTGCAGTAGAGGCACAGAGTCTGGTGTCCCAGGTCAGGTCCGCGCCCCATCACCAGGCCCCAGGAATGGGGAGGAGGAGCAGCACCTCAGGATCTGGCCAGACCGATGGATTGTGATGGATCCCAAAGATGCTGATAGCACAGACGTTCCCTGTAAGGAAAGAGGGGACAATCAGGATGAGGTCCGTGCTGCCCCATGAGACCACCACCGTGCCCAGGAGTCTCCTCCCCCTGCCGTTGTGGGCACCTTTGGGGATGACCCGGCCGTCGGGGAGGGCAACGTCCTGGGTACAGCAGCGGGAGATGATTGTGACTGGGGGGTGCAACCGCAGACTCTCCTTGATGCACATGGTCAGGAAGGGCAACTGGGCCAGGTCGTCCCTAAGGAACCACCCCCAAACAATTATCCAAGGAGCAAACAGAAAAACTCCCCCAGCCTTACTGCTGCCCCATGAAACCCTCTTGCCACCGCCCTCTGCCCCTCTGTCCTACAACAAAATGAATCCCAGACGGATCAAAGGTTTAAACATTAGAAAATCAAAATTACAAAAATACTAGAAGAAAACTTGACCTGGTGTTTTTAGAAATATTTCTCAGCAAAATACACCTTTCAAAAGTGTACTCTTTAAAGTATTGATATATTTGAAAGAAAGCATTATTAAAATGATAAAATGACTGAACAAAAGCAGAAACAAATATCCTTAAAGGGTTAATAAGGTTATCTGAATGTATAAGATTCACCCACATGCTAGGGAGGCATGACCTATTAACATAAAGGTGTGAATTCTTTCTAAATCAGTATATATTCAAAGTGATCCAATAAAAATCTAGTTGGATTTTTAAGCTAGACAATTTTTATCTTTATTTATTTATTTATTTTTGGTGCAGGAGATCAAACCCAAGGCTTTGCACATTAGAGGCAAGCACTGTTGCAACTAAGCTAGATCCCCAGCCCAATGATCTTATTCCAATTGGAAGGGTTAAAGTTCATCAGGGGCTGGGTCAATATAAAAATAAAAGTATCAAAGAAGAGGAGCCTAATCTACCCATTATTAAGACCTATTACAAAGGTATAGTATTTAAAGTATTTTTTAAAAAATATATGGTACTGCAACAAGAACAGGAAAATAGATCCATAGAACAAAGTAGAGAGCTTGCAGTCAGATACATCAACTTTAGCATCCGGTAAAGAGGTTCCACACATTCCTGGAAAATGGATATATGGTCTGGTGGAGGTGTTCAGACAACTGGCAATATGGAAACAAAAAGAATTAAATCCTCCTCTACTCCACATGCAGGGTAGAGCCTCCCCCCATAACTAAAAGATAAAACTGTAAATTTAATAGCATATCCATCATTTCCAACATTTGTCATATCTTTGTCAAAATTCTCTCTTTCAGCTATTTTGAAATGTATAATACATTATTGTGCAGAATATCAGAACTATTCCTCCCCCCTAACTGTAACTTTGTACCCATTTACAAACTGTCCCCATCAGTACACCCCCTTCCCAGCCTGAGTAAAGAAAAAAAAAACTACAAAGAAGATAACATTTTTGTGACCTAGCAATAAGGAATTCTTAAAATCTCAAAAATACAAACCATAAAACCAAAATTAAAAAGGATAAATACAAACAAAATTGAAGAATTACTATATAATAAAAGACACCATGGACCAAATTCACATTCTGATGAGAGGTTCAGAGATATATGTAGATCTAGAATATACAAGGAATTCCTGCAAATCAACAAACAAAATGACAGGTGACCCAAGAAAAAAATGAACAAAAAGATATAATCTAGGAATTCCCAGAGATCAACCACAAGAGATTTAAGAAGGGGTGCACAGAGTCACTGGTTATCAGAGAAATGGAAGTATTAACAATGAGATGTTACTTCATATCTGTTTGAGGTAGGAATCAACAATGTGAGGAGTGCTGAGGATTGGCTGAGGGGTGTGGAGGGGTTGGTGGATCTCATGCACTGATTGTGGGGATGTGGGCAGGGGCTGCCATTCTGGAGGGCAACTGCCGGTATGTGGTCAAGGAAAAATGGTATGTGTTTACAACCCTTCCAACTGGCTCCCAAGTATGGGTTTCAGAGAGGTCTTCAGACAAGTGGATGAAGAGTCCATACAAAGATGTTTGCTGCAGGGACAGGATGGAAGCAGCCTGAGTGTCCAGCACTAGGGGACTAAAGAGGAAAGCACCACATGACAGTTAAACACAATAATCTACATGGACTTAGAACCATGGAAGGCTAATAAAATCCCAGTGCTGCATCTCTGGAAAAGGTGAAAATCAGTATCAGAGCTGTGACCCAACAGCATATTTGCAAAGTTTATAATATACCCACTTCAACAACAAATTTTACAAAATAAAAGCATCAGTTTCTTTAGAATCACATTAGGGAAGACTAGACTTGGGAGAAATGGGAGAAAATAAGTATTGCACAGTAAAATGATGACATCTAGTCAGGAATTTGGAGAGAGTGGTTAATTCAACTCCTGGAAACTGAGGAGTTTAATTTGAAAAATATTAATTATTTAAAAATTTCAAGGTTATTTTTTCAGACTAGCCAATCGGATTATAGCTATCATGTGGAAAAATAAGAAGTCAAGAAAAAAATGTAAAAGCAAAATAAGTAGATGAGACAAACTTTATCGAATATGAAGTGTTCTTTAATGATAATAAAGATTCTTGGAGCTTATTATCACTAAATAAATACATGGCACAGAGTAGAGTCCAGAAATAAACTCAAATACATATAAATGAAGTTAGCTTATTATGAAGCAACTGTTTAAAATCCTAAGGTAAGTTCATTACATTCTGTTGGGACAATTAGCTATTTGGGAAAAAATAGATTCTTACCTTAGTACTTATACCTCAGTACTTAAACTGTACTTATAGATTTCATAGGGAAATGTTAAATATAAAAAGTAAATAAAATGTTAAATAAATAAAATATATTTGAAAAGAAATAAACCCTTTAGGGGAAAACACACAAGAACTTTACATTTTAAAATTAAAATGTGATGGGGCTGGGGTTGTGGCTCAGCAGTAGAGCGCTCGCCTAGTATGTGCAGGGTGCTGGGTTCTATCCTCAGCATCTCATAAAAATAAATAAAATAAAGTATTGTGTCCAACTACAACTAAAAAAATGCAAAAAAATTAAAGTGTGAAATGTTTAGTAACACAAATTTAAAAATAAACAAAAACAGGAGCTAAAAAAGAATTAATAAATTTGACTACAAATAGATGAATCAAACCAAAATAAATAAACCCAAACAAAAAATAAAGTCAAAGATAATTTGGGGAAGGATATTGCATGGCAGAAAAAAAGAGCTAATTTGGGGCTGGGGTTGTGGCTCAGTGGTAGAGCGCTTGCCTAGCATGTGTGAGGCACTGGGTTCAATTCTCAGCATTGCATTTAAACAAATAAATAAAGGTCCATCAATAACTAATATATATATATATTTTTTAAAGAGAGAGAGAGAGAGAGAGAGAGAGAGAGAATTTTTTAATATTTATTTTTTAGTTCTCGGCGGACACAACATCCTTGTTTGTATGTGGTGCTGAGGATCGAACCCAGGCCGCACTCATGCCAGGCGAGCGTGCTACCGCTTGAGCCACACCCCCAGCCCATTTATTTTTTTTAAAGAGCTAATTTTACTAATATGTAAAGAGTTCTTATACATCAATAAGAAAAACTAAAAATCCCAAAGTAGAAAGGATAAATTTTATGTGAACTGACATATCACATAATAAGAAATATGCATGGCTTATCAACAGATGAACCCAAAGCTCAAGATTACTAGTGCTTAATTGATGTTCATTAAAATAACAAAGAATTATATTTCACTTATCAGATTGGCAAATATTTTAAAGTTTCTTAGTGTACACTCTTGGTAAGCACTCAAGGAATGGAGCATTCTCAGTTTCTATGTAAGACTGGATTTTCCAAGAGCTATTAAGTTATAAAAGTCAAGTACCTTTTCTTTAGCAACTGCATTTCTAGGACTTTGTCCTGCAAAGGTATTCACATGTTTAAGCAATGTGTCCGTATACACAGATATTTACTATGTTGTGTTTGTGATAGCAAAAAAATGGAAACTGTTCAAATTTCCATTGAGGGGGGAATGTTTTGATAAGGATATGGTGGAATACTATATAGCTACCTGAAAGGTAGAAATAGGTATCACTAGTCCTATCACACTCTAGAGGATAGACTGGTACAGAAATACTAAAGGGAATTCAGCAATATTTTTTATAATTGAAAATGTTTACATAAATGTCCCCAACAGAGTTGTGAGATGAATAAACTACAGCATGCTCCATAGCACTCAAAATAAGGAGTTTCAAGACACAGTGTTGAGTGTAAAAACAAGGGCATATTTATACACATCTATAGAATCAGTGTCAAGAAAAAGATCTGGAAGGACATGTGACAAATTTCTGGCTCTAGGGACCTCTCAGGAGACAAGAGACAGGATCAGGTGTGGGGAAGAGGCTAACAAGATCATCTGCATCCATGAATGAAATTGGAGAGCATTATGTTAAGTAAAATAAGCCAAACACACAAAGACAATACTGTCTCACTTAGAAGTAGAATCGAGAGCAATTGAACTCCTAGGAGCAAAGACTAGCATGTTATTATCAGAGGCTGTGAGGTGAGAGGATGGGGAAGTGATAGTCCAAAGGTCCAAAGTCTCAGCTAGATAGGGGAAAGAAGGTTGTTGTTTGTGATTGGATTGAACCCGAGGGTGCTGTACCACTGAACTACATCCCATCCTTTTTATTTTTTGAGACAGAGTCTTGCTAAGTTTCCCAGGCTGGTCTCAAACTATGATTCTCCTGACTCAGCTTCCAAATTGTGGAGATTACAGGCATGTGCCACAACTCCCAGCGAGCTTCATTATTTAAAGATCAATTGAACCGATGGGCTGGGGATGTGGCTCAAGCGGTAGCACGCTCGCCTGGCATGCGTGCGGCCGGGTTTGATCCTCAGCACCACATACAAACAAAGATGTGTCCGCCAATAACTAAAAAATAAATATTAGAAATTCATTCTCTCTCTCTCTCTCTCTCTCTCTCTAAAAAAAAAAAAAAAGATCAATTGAACCGAATAGTAAATGTGGCTAATGATTGAGTGCTATACATTCCAAAATTGCTAAGAGAGTAAGTTTTCAAATATTCTCATTATAAAAGAATGTTAAGTAGTTGAGGTGATGGGTATGTTAATTAGTTTCATATAATCATTCTACATTATATTAAAAATCATAACATCTCTTTCTACCCCATAAATAAATAAATATATATATATATATATATATATATATATATATATATATCCAAATTTTTAAGTTTTAAAAAAATTAAAGAGAGGGACTGGGATTGTGGCTCAGCGGTAGAGTGCTCGCCTAGCACGGGCGGGACCCAGGTTTGATCCTCAGTACCACATAAAAATAAAGGCATTGTGTTGTGTCCATCTACACTAAAAAATAAATATTAAAAAAAGAGAAACGTAATTTATAATGTTTCAGCGTTTCAATTTCTGAAAGGGAAAAAAAAAATGTGTTCCCATGCTTGTCTTGACAATTCAAAGTTATCTTTCAAATTTTGAGTTTAAAAAAAAAGAAAAGACCTTGAAGCGCTATTGCTTCAATGTGGGAGCTGAGGGCTCTGTATCTCCTCCCAGCTGAAGAGAAATGGAGGGAAGGAAAGAATGAGCAAGAGGAGAGAATGTGAACAGACCCAACATTGTCTGGAAAGACACAGGCAATCATCAAAAGCAGGAAGGGGACAAATGATGGCCTAAACAATACAAAAAGGTTATAATGAATTGTTTGAACTTTTACCAAGGGCATAATTATTTGAAGGTGGAGGAATCACAAAAACATCATCTGTACTGGGCAAAGATTTAAAGTTGAGGACACTTTCCAAAATGTCTGACCAGTCCAATACCTCTTCCCCATCCCTGGACCCCCTGGGCCCCACCTCGTCCCCTCCAATTTGCCCTCATAATCACAGAGAAATGTTTCTTAATGCCCAGATCTGATCTGCCCCTCCCTTACTCAAATATCTGCCATGGCTCCTCATTGCCCTCTGGGTTAGTCATGAATCTTCCTTTAAGTAAGAACTTACTGTCCAGCTGCAAGAAATGCACTTATCTGTCAGCTTCCAGCTATGGGGTCTTCAGGCTCTACCACACAGCATCCAAGCCACAGCCTCGCTTTCCCAGACAGCACCTAGCCAATAACTGACCATGCTGATCCACAAGCACATGAGCATCTGTGCCCAATGTCTGGCTCCCCTAACAGCAGCATCCCTGCCCACTTTAATCTTTCTTCTAATATGGGATTCCAAAGGACTCAAACTGACACATTTTTGATTAAAGTCCAAACATGGTTTTCAAAGCATTGCAAGCAGGGCATCTGATACCACCCCCAGGAGTCTCTCTGTTCTTGACACTGCTTCACAAAGATTCAGCCACTGCTTCCCCTGAACCCTAAAACATGCCAGGCTTCTCGTACAAACTCCCAACCTAGCCTCTGCACAACCGTCCCCCTTGACCAGCTCTTCTGATCCCCACATCCAATATGGAAAATCTGTATTCACTGTCTCATTACCAGTCTGGCCTCCATTCTTTCTGCCCCAGCTTTGTCCAGGTAGGATTAAAATGAAAAAGGAAAGATGGGCATGTAAGCATGTACCCAGAGTGCCAGCAACTCTGGAGTCTGAGATGCTGGGATCATTTGATCCCAGGAGTTTGAGCCTGGACAACATAGCAAGACCCCATTGCAAATAAGTAAATATGAAAGTAAATTCTAAAAATGGGACTGGACACATAGTTGGGAGACGGCAGGGCTAAAAATATGGATGTGTCTACCAAGTGAAGAGATGAATGAGTTTTGCCCACTGAGATCTTTGTGAACTCTTGGAATAGCCTGCAAGTTTTTTAAAAGAATAAAAATTAAAGCCAGTCATGGTGGCATACACCTATAATCCCAGCGGCTAGGGAAGCTGAGGCAGGAATATCATGAGTTCAAAGCCAGCCTCAGCAACAGTGAGGCGCTAAGCAACTCAGTGAGACCCTGCCTCTAAATATAAAGTACAAAATAGGGCTGGGGATGTGGATCGGTGGTCGAGTGCCCCTGAGTTCAATCCCCGGTACCAAAATAATAATGATGATAATAATAATAATAATAATAATAATAATAATAATAATAAAGAGGAGTAAATGTCTTAGGGAAATGCAAGTTTAGACAGAAGTGCAAAGCAGAGGAGGATGGTTCATTTACTGAATCCATGCTGGGTGGCATCTGTTCGACTTATATTGTCACTAGTTCTCCAAGTAACTCTATGGGGTAGAGATGCCCTCCAGTTTACAGGTAAGAAAAGAGATTCAGAAAAGGGAATTGATTTTGCTAAATGTTGCCTAGCAAGTTCAAAAAGTGATACATGTGGAGTCCCAGATAACTCCCAGCAAAAACATCTTCCTGTTCCCCACCTAGGAAGCAGGGCCCATGATAGGGGCTCAGGGAGGGCCTTGAGGACTCACTCACCACTCAATCTCCTTAGGATCACGGTCGCTCAGCAGGTCTTGCACCTCCTTCCGGCAGCGCTCCTGGTATTCCGGGTGCCTTGCCAGGTTGTACAGGGCCCAGGAGAGACCACTGGCCGTGGTGTCATGGCCTGAGGGGCAGTCAGGCAGCCTTGGGCCTCTGGGCTGCTTCAGCACCAGAGGGTGGACAGCGCCCAAGCATTGAGGTCCTGGGAAGGGTGGGGAAAGGGGAGGAGGGACAGAATGCCATGACCCCACCCCCTCTGTACTGCCACATTAGTCCCTCACCTCCAAACATAAAGGTGTCAGCCTCCGCTCGTATGTCCTCATCTGACAACTTCTTCCCATTTTCATCCTGGACACAGGACAAGACCCTCAAATCAGACCAAGTCTAACAGCACCTGGGTCTAAGCAGGGTCCGTCTCTTATCATCTCCAGAGCCTGACCTAGTTCTTCCTCCCGTGTTTCCTGCCTCTGTGCTCCTCAGAGGCAGCCTTCTACAGCGTGACCTCCAGCACTTACCTCTGACTGGTCTCTCCTTTCCTCAAGCACCTTCCATGGCTCCCCACAACCTTCTCAATCCCGTTCAACTTCTGTCTAATATTTACCATTAAGGTCCACGCTACCTCTTGAATTCAAGTCTCAGGGAAGCCCACCTTGGACAGCAGGAGCAAATCAATAAAGTCCACAGTCTTAGACTTGGCCTTGGCCTTGAGGAAATCATCAACATCCTGAGCAGCCAGAGTGCAGCGCCGCTCCTGGATGACCGCATCTGTGAAGTCGTGCACCAGGTCGCACGCCCTGCGGAAGCGGCGCCCATCAGGAGTGAGGTAGTACAGGAAGTCCCAGTACAGGAAGATCTGGTGGTACCGTTTGGTTACGAGGGCACTGAGCTCCAAGATGGCGGCAATATATTCACTGGGCTGCCTGCAGGGCCAGGACAGAGGGGAAGCAGCTCCTTAGCACCCAGGGAGCACTCCCAGCCAGGGTCCCAGGGCCACAAACCATCCAGAAAGGCATGCTGCCAAGCACAGTCCTCTGTGCCACTCTCTCTGAGCTGGCTCACATCCCAGGTGTCCGGGGCAGAGCATGGGCCTGATGCTTATCTCCTCGCCCTCTTATTCAACATCTGCTCCTGCCCATTCTTCCTTGGTTTCTCCTGAATCTGCCCCATTTTCTCCACCAAGACCTCCTCCTCTCTAGGTTTCCTTGCATCCTGTGTCTATGCGGCCATCAGTCTTCCAGGGAATCAAACATCCAAGTTCAGCTCTGACCATGACTCTCACCTGCTCCCACACCTTCTATGGCTCCCTGGGAGCCCCAGGATAAAGTTCACACCCCTTTGCCTGGCTACTCAGTGTCCTCAAGATCTAGCCACTCCTTCCCTCCAACCTCATTTCCAAGGGGTATCCTCACTACTCTTGCACACGCTCTGCTGTGAGCCCACTTGCCATTGCTCACACAAGTCCGCTACCTGGAAAGACTACTATCTCTTCCCCTCCCTGTCCTTCAGCGCCCAGTTCTGACCCACCCCCTCCAGAAGCTTCCACTGATTCCTCTGGTCAGTCCTTCCTCCTCCACCAATTTCCCAGGCCCTGGGCAAGAACTCACTCCTGACAATTGCTGTCGAAGCTGAAGACGCATTTCTGCAGACTGTCCAAGGTCATGAGGCTGATGTGCTCAAACATGTCCAGACGGGCACTGCCCTCTGAGATCAGTCGTTGCCACTTGGCCTGGCCAGAGAAGGGAACAGGGCTGGGGCTTGGCCTTGGCTCCCAGAGCCCTTGCTCAACTACTCCTACCAGGATGGACTCCCCAGAACCAGCCTTCTGGTCCTGTGCCTGAGGCTCCCAAACCCAGAAGGGACCAGGTTTGGTGAGAGCAGAAGCTGTTCCTAGTAGGAGCTGAAGACTCAGGTGGGAGTCAGGAGACCTGAGCTCAAGTCCAGCTCTGCCCTCCATGCTCCATGCACCTGGGCAACTCACTGCCCTCCCCCAGGTCAGTAACCTGCCAAGTCTTCAGCAACATTTAGTTAAGTTTACCTGGTTCAATGTCACATAAACCAGGTTAGAATGCCTGCTCACTTACTGCTGGGTAAACTTGGACAAGCTCCATAATCTCTCTGACCTTTGGTTTCACCATTCAATGTGGCAATCATAATCGTCTCTACCTCAGAGGGTTGTGAAAATCACATTAGCACAGGGTTTCTGGATACAGTCAGTGTGGAGTAAGTGTTGGCTAGCATTATCATCTTCATTAGCATAATGAAGGATTTGGAAATGTTGCAAAATTCATTTATTTATTTATTTTTAGTACCAGAGACTGAGCCCAGGCATGCTTAAACAGTGAATCACACCCTCAGTACTTTTTTTTTTTTTTTTTTGAGACAGGGTCACACTAAGTTCCTTACAGCCTCAGTACGTTGCTGGCTTTGAACTCATGATCCTCCTCCCTCAGCCTCCTGAGTTGCTGGGATTACAGATGCGCACTACCGCACCCAGCTTTCCCTAAAATTTCTGAACACGGCCCTTCCCTGCTTAAGACACGCTACCGTCCAACAAAGCACAGTCTTAGCCTTTGAGACTTTGTAGCTCCTTCCATTAGGAGGTGGAGACTTTTTTTTTTCCATCTCTTGAACCTAAGCTGTATTTGAGACTTGCTTTGGCCCATAGAGTATGTTCAACGCCAGCCTCAGCAACTTAGTGAGGCCCTAAAACAACTTAGCAAGACCATGTCTGAAGGGGCTGGGGCTGTGGCTCCGTGGCTGAGCACTCCTGGGTTCGATCTCTAGCACACACACAAAAAATCATGTGCTAGTTCTAAAACTAAGCATAGAGAGGGACTGAATGTTTCTTCTCTCTCTCTCTCTCTCTCTCTCTCTCTCTCTTTCTCAGCCCAGTCTCTGCCATGCTAGCAAGCCCAGGCTTGGTAGATAAGAAACAAATGGAAGAGTCCCACTGGACCACTAAAGCCAATGAGTTTTAAAATAGTAGACTGTGCAGAAAGAACTACTGTATACAGCATTACTGTGTTGAGTTTCTAGGGCTTCTGTGAGGGACACTAGAAACTAATGCCTTAGAAGCACCCACTATGTGCCAGGACCATAGCTCTGTGACATCATCTTGACCTCATTTTAAGTAGAGGTTATTACTCCCAATTTACAGACGAGGAAACCAAGACTTGGAGAGAAAAAGCTATAGCCCCAAATCTACCAGCAGAAACAGGTTTGCTGGTCTGTTGGGAGCCACTCCCCCTTTCTAGCTGGGCCCTGGGTTCAAGGAACTCACATGCATGATGTCCACACTCTGGTTGAAAATCTTCATGTAGGGCTTCAGGATGTTGAAGTGGAAGGCAGGTGTCAGCAGGCGCCGGCGGTGGCTCCACTTGTCACCGGCACTCAGCAAGAGCCCATCCCCTGGTAGAGCAACCATGGGCAGTAGGCAAGGCAACACCATTCCCTGGCCCCCCAGGTTGTCCCCAATCCCTTTCACCTGCAGTTACTCACCCAGCCAGGGTCTCAGGTAGCCATAGAAAGCCATTTCCTTGGGTACAACCATAGCTGGCAAAAGTGAGCATCATCAGGGCCCATGGAGTGAGGGAGGGTGGAGATTCCCAGCCAAGGGTCTGCACTTCCCTCCTCTGAGCCCAGAACAGCAGGAAGAGAGCCAAGAGCATAGGAATCAGGAAGGAGTGAGGAACTAGGGGCACCAGACCAGGCTGCAGAAGCAGAGGTTCAGCACCCTCTAGCAGGCCTTGACAGAAGGTCTCCGTGTTCTCTCTCACTCGAGAATGGCCCGGCACTCTACAACACACATTTCCAGGGACTAGAATGCCTGTCCCAGACTCTCTGACATCTCCTGACATGCTGGGGACATATGTCATGGATACAACATGTGTTACCATGACCCACCACTACACAACATACATGATCTGCCCCGACATGATACCACATGGTCTGAAATAGACAGTCTAAGACAGTCTGACATGAAACAAATGTGACCTACATATGATCCCCAGACAGGATTTAAATGTGGTCCCATTAACATTCCAGATGTGACACAGGGATGACCCAGACTGTCTCAGTGTCCTCCTCTACTCCACACTAAGCACTAAGTGTTAGGGCTCCTAGAAAGACCAGAGGATCCACCTCCCTGGTCAGAGGCTGAGCTTAGGGACCCTTCCATCAGAGGCAGCTGAGACATACCAGAGTGCACAGAACTAAGGAGGAGGCCTTGGTATGCGGGGTGAACTTGAGAAGTCCTAGCACCTCCCTGAGCCCCAGTTTCCTTACCCAGGAACTGCCTGTCTTACAGCTAGTAGATAAATGTCTTCCGTTTCAGCTGCTGGATCTTTCTCTTGGAACCAGCACCTCACACCTTCCCCAGCCTTAATCCAAGGAGCTGAGAGGTGGTTCCACCATCCAGAGCTGAGCTAGGCCTCCACAATCAAATCACAGTGACTAAGTGAAGCATGGGTTCTTCACTCAAATGAGGCAAATTTAAGAGAATCCTGGAACTACAGGGAATTTTCCCCAGGACTTGAAATCCTAGGACTCATCTTTAGCAGAATAAGAGTGAAGCCATCACAGGAGGAAGCAGAACTGAGATGAAGACTCTTGCTGGTATTGTTTGAAGAACTGGATCCAGCTTATCTGAAGACATTCTCCTGCCCTTTACTGTGAATAGATCCCCTTTCTTTGCTTAGACCACACCGAGTTGAGTTCCCATCACTCACAACTGAAAAAGACCTGAGCCCCCAGAGAGGGCCAAGACCCTGTCCAGAGTCACTTGCCTGTGATAGGCAGAGCCATGGTCTTTATTGGATATCGCCCCTTCCCCGGCTCAGCCTGGCCTATCCAGAGGTGGGAAGGGCTGGAAACAGGAACAGGGAAAAGAGGCCAGGGGTCAGGACTGGGAGAGATACCTGGGGCCTGGAGCAGGGGGGCAACGAACTTAGGGTGGACAAGCCGCAGGACGGGGTAGAGGGGCCCGACCCACCAGAGGTGGACATCACGGAAGCAGTGGCCCAGCTCCTCCACCAGCCGCATGCCTTCTTCATTGTTCTGGGCCTGGGGAAGGAGAGGGCTGAGGCCAGTCCTGCCAGGGGACTGGGATTCCACCACAGCCCCACCTCTTACCCCTTCCACCCGAACTGTTCTCATCTGTCTCTGTTTCTGTATCTCTATCCATGTGTCTATCCATGTGTCTCTGAACCCTCCCCCTATTCATCTCTCTTTTCCTAGATAGATATACAGACGATGAATGGATGGATGATGGATGATGGATAGATAGATAGATGTGATGTATTGTGAATAGATTATAGATAGGTATGATAGATAAAATGGTGAAGGCGTTCCTACACCCACTGTCTGACAGGGTCACAGCGTGGGGGATGCTGCGGCAGGGCCACACCATCTGGAAACCGGAACCATTAGGAATGTTAAGTGTTTTGTTTATGATCCTCATGATATGGATAACAGGGCATACGTCAATCAATAGAAGTACGTATGGCCTGAGATTGCAGGAAAAGTCCCAGAACAAGATGAAGGATGCCATTGAGACATGCCATGAGGTGCGTTTCAGTGTCTCTCAGGATACAGGCAATGGTGTTATTCCTCAAGCTTAAACAACAGAAATATTTATCCCATGGTTAACGATTTACACTAGCCCCCCCAACCCCATCCAAAAGCCACAACCTGTACAACAGCCTAGCTACAGAAAAACAATTGCTGTGCCAACAGTATAAGGACCACCATGTAGCTTATGGTATCCCCTCGAGGACAAGAGGCTAATAAAAATACATTACCCAACCAATAGACCCTCCTTTGCCTTATGCAGAAACTTATGATGAAAATGGAAAACACATAGTTAATATAAATGACAAATGAGTTGAGGTGTAAAGCCTGCCCTTTAGTTAAAGATTACAAAGACATAGGAATTGGTGTGTTTTGACCAAGGATCAAGGAAGTTCTTTAAGAAAGCAGTTGAATAGGTCATATGAAAAAAAGGAGATTACCTTGGAAATTAAAAATAGAATAATGTAAAATTAACATAGATACAGTTTAGAGGCACTTCGGAGTAGTAGGCTTTTAAATAATAGACTTTCACTACTTTAAGTGTGTTTTACTGGGATTTTAGTTTAGAAGTAAGAAAGCTTACAAATAATCATAAGTATGCTTTAAAGTTAAAGGTTAATGAAATAATTATAGGTATGCTTTAAAGTTAGAAGTGAATAATAGGTCAGGAGTCATGTAGTCTAGTTGCATCCCCTAGCACCTAGTGATTGACATGAAAACCTAAAAGCTTAATCATGATTGTCTAAGGTTACAGAAAAATATTTTGAACAATGTACTCAATATCTTAGGTATTCATTGTATGTCAAAAAAGATTGTAATTCTTGAAAATTATGTAAATCAAAAAAGTTTCCGGCTTTGAAACTATCCATTAACTACCTGAGAAAACACCTGTAAAAAGGTATAAAAATAAAGGTCCCTCCAGGGGCAGAGAGATGTCTTCTGGAAGTTGCTCTACTCTTCTTCTTTTGTCGATGCCACTCTTCCTTCAGGACCACCCTGGACCTCTCTCCACCACCCCCACCCCCACCCCCCCGCGGGGGCTGGACCTCAGCAATAAAAGAGATACAAAGATGGATACATAGATTACTGATTGATGTGATGCATTATAGACAGATAGGGATACAGAGATGAACATACAGATGATTGACAGATGGAGAAATAATAAATTAAATATAGATAAGATAGATACATTGCTAGATAATGACACATTATAGGCAGGTAAGATGAATAGATAATATATCGAAGAGATTAAAGATAAATAAGTAGGTAACAGAGGTAGAGATTAAATAGATAGATACTTGTGTCTGCATTTGTTTCTTTACTCCAGTTTATCTGTCCTTCTGTGTGTTTTTCCATCTTTTCTCTTCATTCTGTCTCGGTTCTGCCTCCCTCCCCCTTCCATGTGTATGTGCATCTCTGTCTCTGTGTCTCTCATTATTCTTATCTCAGCTCCCCATCTCTCTCTCTCTCTCTGTCCTCCCCACCAACACCTTATGATTCACCCCCATTCATTGTGGACTCATAGCTATTTCACTCCATCCAACTTTCTCCCTTGTCCCCAAACCCCAGCACAGCCTCTTGCCACTAGCTCTGGTTCCTCCCCAGCTTGGCAGAAAACAAGTTTAGAGGCGGTTCTAATCTTAGTCCCCAGCTCAGGAGAGATGTGAACTTGGAACTCACTTCAGGAGGGAATGGATGGTCAACTTAGGAGCTGGACCCCTGGCCAAGGAGGTGGCTTCAGGAGAGGGAGGAGGAGGAGAATTTGAGATCCCAGAGAATCCCATATGAAAAGCCTGGGGAAACAGCCGGAGGGAGATAGAGGGGCCACAGGGAGCTCAGGGGACACCAGGGGAAGGTGTCATCCAGGAACCAAGAGAAGAGGAGGTCCCTGGGCATGGGACAGTTAGCATAGCAGAGAACTTCTGGGAGATGGATGGGATGGGGCTGGAGATGTCCATGGGACTTAGGGAAACTGGAGGTCATGAGGGTGGTAGGGGTGGGGACCAGATGAGGAATGAGCAGGGAAAGGGAGGCCATGAACAAAGGTGAGTCTTCGTCCTTGAGGCTGATCAAGGAGATGGGAGGTTTGGTGCAGAGTGAATCTCATTAGAGGTGAGTGGAGAGGAATCTACATGGAACCTAACTGTCCAGTTCTGTGACCTTCTCCAGCATCATTGTGGAGAAGACATCAGAGAACATGGTTGGCTGAGTTTCTCCAAAGCAATTTTTTTCCCCAAACATCCATGTAGAAAAGCCCAAACAGCAAGAGACTGCAGCTTGTGAGTCATGATAGGAACTGAGCTAGAGGTGGTCGAGGAAGGAGGATTGGAAAGAAGTTGTTGGACTAGGATGCAGAGGGGATGGAAGTCCTGAGGGTGATGAGAGGAGGTGAACAAGAAAGAGGGAAGGAGAGCTGTAGTGAGAGGCGGCCACACATCATCAGTGGCACTGGCGGTGATGCTTCAGCAAGTAACAGCAAAGCCAAGGTATGATTCTGGAAACAGCAGATGCACACAGCCCAGAGCAAAGGCCTCTGGGAATGAGGCCCAGGATGGTGAGTGAGGAGCCCCATCCCAGCAGGCGTAGCCACCATGGCAGAGGCCACAGGAATTCTTTCTGGAAAAGAAAGTGGCTGGGTGCTGCTCAGTGACAGAGGATTCACGGAGCATGTGTGCAGCCCTGGAAAGAGAGGAAGGGAGGGAGAGAGAGGTGAGAGAGGGGGAAAGTGGCCGACTTGGGTCCATTGATACATCTTGGCGGTGGAGGGCAGGATAAGAAAAGAGAAGTTCCTGAGAAGTTGGAGTGGGAAGAGAAACCGCGGGCCCAGCTGTGTCCTGTGGGGATGTGGGGAGGGGGAGGTGGGTCACAGCTCATTCATGCAGAGAACTGGCAGCCCTGAGGCCAACAGAGATGGGCCAGGCAGGAAGTAGACCCTGGATAATGCCCCACGGAGGCCACAAATCCAAGGGTGGAGACTGTGGACTGGCCGGGGGTCCCAGCTCTGTGCAGTCTTCCCCGGGAGCCCCCCAAGCAGGACAGGATGCACTAATGGGAGGAAGGCAGTAACCCATGTGACCCAAAGCAGTCGGGTAGGGAAGGGAAAGAAAGAGAAAGGGCTCAGGGCAGGAGGGGGACAGAGAAGAGGGAAGGCATCCAGTGGGGCAGAGGAAAAAGAGGTTGCCCACCGTCTCCCTCACTTCTCCGAGTCCACTCCCTGGCCCCAACTCTCTGAACCCACTCCAGCCTCTCAGAAAGTCCACCCACTCTGATGGTCCAGACGCAGTATGCCACACTCACCAGGCCTAGGTGACCCCAAAACCAGTTCCGTCTGGGGGGCTGTGGGAAGCATCGGAGGCGGTAGCAGTTGTCATAGAAAGTGTAGATCTTGGTCAGGCTGCGGGCCAGGAACCAGGAGGCCCCGGCCAACAGCAGGAGTTGCCAAGGAGAGGCTGCCCAGGGCCCCAGTCCCAGCCAGGACAGGCTCAGCTGCGGCATCCTGCAGGGAAGATGGGACAGATGGTGAGCTACTGAGGCCCTGGAAAGGGAAAGGAAACTCCAGCGACACTGGACAGGAGTGGAGACTTCAAGACGGGGGTAGGACTGAGAGGGGGAAGACCCAGGGCAATCCAGAGAAGAGGCATTGAGAAAGGAGAAGAGAGGGGGAGGGAGAGAGGAGAGAGAGAGAGAGAGAGAGAGAGAGAGAGAGAGAGAGTCTGTTCAAAGCCCAGAGGGGCTCAGCCTGAATCATGGGGAAGTGGCCAGGGACTCGGTTACCCAGACACCAGGCCAACACGCTCCCGGGAGCCTCCCCAGCCTTGGGCGTCACCCTCCCCATTCCAGGCCAAGGCCCCCCTCTCCCACCCCTGCTTGGCACCTTCTATCAGGAGTAGCCTGTCCCCCACAATCTCCTTTCCCCTCCTCTAGGACCTCTTTGTCCCTGGCTCCCGACCTGTAGGAGGCTGCAGGAAGCTGGCCTGGGCAGGGCTGAGCCAACCAATCCCCACAGGCTTGACTGCCTCCTCCCTGCCTGGGAAGGCAGCCAGGACATGGGGGAGGAGCCAGCTGGGTGCAGAGGAAGCCACCTCAGGGTCACAGGCATGGGTGGATCCTCAGGATTTCATGCCTTCTGCCTGATTTAGGGGCAAAGGTAACTCTGGGCCCCCAGGTTGATAGCAGCCTCTACGTCTCGAAGCCCAAGGGATGGCAGGCAAAAGCAATGAAAAGAGTTTGGGTGCCCCGAAGCCAGGGCCAGGTTCCTGGTTCCTTGAGCTCCTCTTCAAGAATAGACTGGGGGGGCATCCTGCACCATCTCTCAGGGCAGAAGGAGGAGGCTCAGAGAGGAAGACCTGTGCTCACCAGAGGCACAGCCTGGCAAGAGTACAAGTCCTGCCTCTAGCTAGCCCAGGACTTTTATTGAGACATGACTTCAAGGAGCAGGAACAAAGAATCCAACAGCGTTAATTTATCTGGGTCAGATTCTGGAGATAAAGAGCCCAGCTGGAAAAGCACATCTGTAGGCTCAGCTTTGGAGGTCAGAGGACAGAGGGACATGTAAGGCTCAGAGGGACCATGAGTGAAAGGGGTCCAGGCCCCAAGTGGAGTCCTCATTCTGTCATGGTAAATGCTGGTCTTCTCTGGGCTCAGTTTTACCATCTGGGAAATGGGATGTTGGGTTTCGTTTGTTTTTTGGTTTTGAGACGGGGTCTCCCTGAGTTGCCTAGGCTGACCTCCAACTTGCAATCCTCCTGCCTCAGCCTCCTGAGTAACAGCTTGTTCCACTGCATGCCCAGCAGGATGTTGGCCTTAAAGGGGGTACGTTCTGTCCAGAAACTGTCCTGAATTCCCCTTTATGGTAGTCTTGGCTCCTCTGAGACCTCCCCTTAGTCAGGCTCCAAATGAGAGTGAGTTTGGAGGGTGGAGCTGTTGAGGGAGAGAGATAACGATGATCAGGATTCCCCCAGCAATTGACCAAATGTTGGGGAGATACCAACACTTGCCCTCCTGCTCCCCATGTGCCTTCTAGCCCTTGCTGACCCAGCTTCAGGGCCTGAAGGACTCAGAGCCCTTTGCAACTTGGGGTGTGCTGCCCCAGATTCTCCCTTCTCTGTGGAGGAATATCCACCTGGTGGTAGGTTCCTCCAGAGAAAAGCCAGGCGGAGGGGGGAAAGCAGCAGAGTTGAGCAGCCAGGTCTGGGGAGACGCGGGAGGGAAGGAGAGAAACCAGAAGTCACTTCCTTCAGCCACACAGTTAAGTAGTGAAGCAGGACAGCTAAGCAGTTGAAAGTGAGTCCTAGCACGCAGGAGGTGCTCATTAAGTATTTAGGAATGAAGAACTTCCGCAGTCGGGAGGTCTAAGAACCCGCCATCCACACTGTGACTGTTAGGACAGCAGCATCGGCTTTACCGGCTGCACTTTGGAAATGCAGAATCCCAAGGTCTAACCCAGACCCTCAAATGGGTGCAAATTCTTTGTCATTGTCCCCAATGGAAGGACGAGCTAATTTCCTTTCCCTTGAGTCTGGACTGGCCTGGGGCTGCTGAACCAATAGATAGCTGTGGAGGTGATGACATGTCGCTTATGTTATGGGGAATTAGAGTAAAACTTGCTAGAGAGTGACTGGCTGAGGGGCTGGTTGGAACTCAGTGATCAAGAAGGACTCCCCAAGAGGTGGCCTTTGAGCAGAAACCTGAATGAAATGGAGAAATGGGCCAGGGGTGAGGCAGAGCATCATGGCGGGGGGCTCATGGCAGAGCTCACTTCATGGTGACCAGGAAGCAGAGAAAGAGAGGAAAGGGCTGGGTTGCAATGTCCCCTTCAAGGGCACTCCCCCCACCCCACAATGACCTAACTTCTTTCTGCTGGGCCCCACCTCCTACAGGCTCAACGATCTCCCAACAGGGCCATCAGCTAAGGACCAAGCCTTCAAATATGGCTTTAGGGGACATTTAAGATCTAAACCATGATAGGTAAGTAGATAGATAGACAGACAGATGGATAATAGGTACTACTGGTTCTGAGTCTAATTCCATTCTCCTTGAATCCTACTTGAGCATAACTGAGAACCCCAGTCAATTGCAAGCCACCAGAGTGATCCATCTTCAAAGTGCCTCTTTTTTTTGGTGGGGGTAGGGAGGTACCAGGGATTGAACTCAAGGGCACTCAACCACTGAGCCACATCCCCAGCCCTATTTTGTATTTTATTTAGAAATAAGATCTCACTGAGTTGCTTAGTGCCTCCCTTTTGCAGAGGCTGGCTTTGAATTCATGATCCTCCTGCCTCAGTCTCCCAAGCTGCTGGGCCAAGTGGCTCTTTCAGCCTCAGACAGGTTGTCCCAGCTGATACTCTGGAGAAAGTATCAGTTGAGAAAGTTGAGAAAGCTGTCCCTGCTCACCCTGACCAAATTGTACATTTCAGCATTACCAACAGATTTCTACACTTACAACTTAAAAAAAAATATATATATATATATATATCTCAAAACCAGGTAAGAAAGAAACAGGAGAAATGATTAAAATGCCTACAGCATTCTCTGGCACATGTTCAGCACCAAGCAATAAGGACACAGACAACAGCTCTGTGCTTTGGACTTTTCTGGAACATGCATCAGGGACTTGGCTGGCTGTGAACATTCCTTGTTCATTCCTGTGACAAGGAGGAGATGCTCTGGAGAAGGGGGGGCAAGTGAGAGACTTGAGGTGAGACAGCTCAAAGTCAAAGCTGAACTCTGCCACTTGCCAGCTGTGTAACCTTCGTGTAATGGTTAATTTGAATTGTCAATTTGATTGGATTAAGAGATGCCAAGGATTAAGAGGATTATGGGTGGGTTGATGAGGGAATGATTGGCATGTGGAATAGCCAACTGAAATGGAGACCCTCCCTAAGCCTGAGAAGCAACGGCCAATAGGATGATGGCTTGGATGGAATAAAAATTGGAAGAACAAAAAAGCAGCAGCAGATGCAAGCTCAGTTCTTCTTGAAGGGGTTCTTGGTCGCTACTGTAATCGTCTGAGGATGTTGGACTCTCACTTCTTCACTCTTCCAAAGCGGACTCTGACTGATTCTCCAGAAGGCTTAGATCTCAGTCTAGGGTTGCACCATTGATTCCTTTTATTCTGGGGCTTCAGCCTCCTGGACTGCGCAGCTACTGGTCCTTCCAGCTCTCCAGCCTGCAGATGGCCATTGTGGACTATCCAGCTTCTGGTTGCATAAGTCCCCTTTTTGTAATTACACTTCCTGTTGATTCTGTTTCTCTAGAGAACCCTGACTAATACACTTGGGCAAGTGACTTACCCTATCTGAGCCTCATATTCCTTGTCCATGAAGAGGGAACAAGAGTAGCCCAAGGGACCCAGGCACCCACGTGTAACCCAGCTGCTTGGGAAGCTGAGGCAGGAGAACTGCAAGGTCCAGGCAAACCTCAGCAATTTAGTGATATCCTAACTCAAAAAAAAAAAAAAAAAAAAAAAGGTCTGGGGATGTTGCTCAGTGGTAGAGCACCCCTGGGTTTAATACTCAGCACCAAAAATAAAGAATAGGCCTGAGGGGGCGAGGAGCCCAGTCAACATGTGTGTCTTATTTTGGATTCCCCAGAAGCAGACTCCGACAGAAGGGTTCAAGTGCAAATACTTTATTCAGAGGTGACCTCAAGACAAGAATTCAACTGCAAGTTGTCTCTGTGGGAGGTGATCCCAAGAAACACAAAGTGGGATGGAAAGAGAAGGAAGCAGTTAAAGGGAGCTTAATATAGGACGTTTCCACTATGGGTGACAGGGCTCAGTCCTGCTGGGGAGCTCCAGGAGGTAGACAGAACCTGAGTGACCTCACCCAAAGCAAGGGAGCTGGGCTCTTTATCCACCCTGATCCATCCACCAGTATTCAGTGTCTCCAGAATGTCCTGCCTGCACTGCAAGGGTCAGGACTGGGCACAGGCAGGGCTCTCTCAGCGGCTTCTAGCCATGATAAGAGCCTGGTGTGCACACAGTTGTTCAGTGGGTAGTTCTCTCACCTCTGCTCTCAACACACACCCACATGCACACACACTGGCACACACAAATACACTTAGATACACACATACATGCATTTGCATACACACATACCTACATATGACACACAGTCGTCTAAATGCATACACAGCCACGCGTGCACACAGTGCACACGTAAACGTTGAATTAGTAGAGAATTAATTCCTTAGAGCCTGTTGTTTCGGAACTGGCCAGCAGAGGGAGCGTCATTCCCGCTTAAAAGAGGAAGGAGAGTCCTCAGCAGCCAGTAAGGAGACCCAGCCTGGTTGTATTATTAGAATTACACACGCAGGTGTAGCAGAGTCCCCGGGACTCAGTGATTCCACATCTTTCCTCCTCCCTCCCAATGAAGTTGATTCCCCCTCGCAGCTCTTAGTGGGTGTTCATTACAAGTACAATGATCCTGTAAGATCCACGTGACAAGGGAAAACTGAGTTCAGAGAGAGGCAGTCATGTGCTCATGGCCTCTGCCAAGAAGGGGCAGAGCAGGAAGTAATGGCTCTCAAGACCAAAGTATCTTGCTGGCAAGATGACAGGGTTGCTTCAAAGGAGGCCAAGGGATGTTTGGCAGACGACGCAAGTTGAAAATCCTCCATCAGAACAGGGTTGTGGGAGCAACAGCAGCAGCAAGGGCCAAATAGCTCTAGCAAAAAGGGCAGGGTGCAGGGACCACACACTACCATTCAATCCCAGAGTACCCCAGACAGGGGGTTCTGGACCACCATCCCAGAACCTGCTGCCAGCAGGACACCTCAGGCTGCTGCCTCCAGCATCGACACAGCCGAGCCCCTGTTGACACCAGCTTCTAAGCAGAAAGACTGGAGGCCTAAGCAGGGACCAGGACTCTGAGCGATGGGGCAGAAAAGGACTCAGGATCCCTGCTGAGGCCCTAACATAAGGTATTTTTAGGACTTTGAGTGAGTTGCTTCCCTCTGGGGTATCAGTTTTCACCTCTGTTAAATGAAACAATAAAGTGATCTCATCAATCAGTATGAAGATTAAATGAGAACATAGGAAGAGCACATAGGATCATGCAATCCATTTCAGTCTCACCACTGCTAACTTTGGAGACATGCTTCCCAGGGCTCCGTCCTTAATGCCTCCTCCATGCATCTCTCTCATATCTCTCTCTCTCTCTCTCTCTCTCTCTCTCTCTCTCTCACACACACACACACACACACACACACAAATTCCACTCAGCCTTAGTTCTTTAGAGGCTGAGACTTCCAAAACATACAACTCCCAAACATGAATCTCCCAAGTTCAAGAACCATCTAGCCAACCACCTGTTTGACATCTCCAACTCCTCCCAGCCAAAACTGATATCCTGAGCTCATACTCAAAGAAATAACTTACTCCACTCGCGTTCCTTCATGTCAGTTGGTGACAGTTCCCTGTATCCAGGGGCTCAAGTCCAAACCTAGACCACCCCCCACACACACTGCTTCTCCCAAACTCTACATTCTATTAACAAAATTAATGAGTGTACAAACCGTCCCCCCAAAAGCTGAGTTTACGTCCTAGGACAAATGACTTCCCAGCCTCCTACCCCTCACACAGCTTCCCTCAGTTGCTTCCCAACTGCCCAGAGCCCCTCATTCCCATCCTGGGCTCCAGGTGTAAGGGTCTGGCAGGCTAGGGGATGAGGGTAGGAGGGGGTGTTTGCAAACCTTTCTTTTTATTCTTCAAAAATTAGAACCCTCAGCAAAAGGCCTCTGAGTAAGAGAGGTAGGAAGGGGCTTGTAAGTTTACATCTGGGCTTACAATAAACAAAAGAAAACAGCCCGATTTCTGGGATGACTCCTGAACAAACCGCCATATGAGATGGGGGGCGTCTAAGAAAGTGATGTCCAGGTTCAAGGTCTGACCCCAGGTTCCAACTTCCAAGTCCTCAATTTAGAAGCCAGCCTGGGGAGGCGGGTCTTGAGTCCAAGAGATGGGTCTTAGGTCCTCAGAAGGCTCAGTGGGCGGGGCCTGGGAACGTTGATCCGCAGGGGCGTGGCCTGAGAAACAATCCATCATACTCCGGGGGCTGGGCCTGAGCCCGAGGGGGCGGGGCCGAAGCTGGTCCCTCTAGCAGGAGGGCAGGTACGGGAACTCAAGGGGCGGGACCTGGACCTCAAGGGGCGGGATCAGACCCTCGTGGGTGGAGCCCTGCCTTGAGGGGCATGGCCAGCACCAACTGGCTGGTCAAAGGCGGAGCCTGGTCCTCCAGTAACAGAGCCAAGACTTCGAGGGGCGTGGTCTATGACCTCAGGACCTGGGGCGGGGCCTGATTCCTCAGGGGCGGGGCCTGGGCCTCTGCCCACGGGACTCAGGCCCGCGGAGGCAGCGGCTCCACGTTGAGCCAGATGCCATTCTCTGTGCGCAAGATGAGCTCCGGCTTCCTCCGCACTTTCCGCGTTCGGTCCACGCTCAGGCGGAAGCGCAGCAGCGTCAACGCCACCGCCACGCGCATCTCTGCCATGGCGAAGCTCTGTCCGATGCAGTTCCTGGAGAAAGGGGGGCATGGCCTCAGGCGCCGCTGCTGTATGTGCGGGGGTCCCTGGGCCTCACATGACTCATCTCTAAAATAGGGAGAGCATCTTAGGCTAAATGAGGGTTAATGAGACCCCAAGAATTGCTGAATAAATGTGACTTTGGGGTCGAGTGTTAGAATCCTGGTGCAGCCTCGTACTAGCTTTGTGTTCCCGATAAATGACCTCTGAGCCTCAATTCCTGCATCTGTAAAGTGGAGACAGTGGCGGCCTAGAGCTGTTGGAAATGTGAGCCCAGAACTCAGGTTCTGGCACACAGTAGGTATGCCCAGCCCCCAGGAACGCTGTTGCAGAGTCTGATTTGGGAGTCTCTTGCTTCACTGGGGGTGCAGAGAGGACCTGAGTTGGTGAAAGGGACACCTAGGTGGGGCGTGGTCTGTGCTTCTGATGGGCACACACTTGAACTTCCATTAGCTCTGTATCTTCCCCATGTGGCTTACCTGGGTCCTGCAGAAAAGGGCACAAAGGCCAGCGGAGAGCGCTGCTGTGGATTGTCTGGGTCAAAGCGGTAAGGGTTGTACACCTAGACAGGAACAGACCGGGGTGAGTCTGGGAGCTGGCCCAGCCATTCTAGCCTGGCCCCCTGGCTCAGCCTCTGGGGGCAGAGGCACTTTAGGACCTCCTCTTCCATTCAACCCCACACTCACTACAATCCAGCCACACCTGTCAGGTGTGCAAGGCTTAGGGCAAAGTTAGGGCAGGAGCTCACCTTGGAGTCAGGCCACACGGTAGGGTTGTGGTGGGTTCCATAGATGCTGACCAAACAGATGATTCCTGTGGCGACAGGTGGGATCAGTGGGGCCAAAGGGAGATACGGCCTCCTCTAGAAACATCCCCCTTCCCAGATCCACCTCTGAGCCATCTGCTACCACTTCCTGTCCATCCTTCCCTGAAAAACCCTGCTGCCCTAACCTCCCCACCACCCCCGCCTGTCCCTAAGAAGCCCCCATTGCCTTTCTGGTTGTCGCACTGGCCACACACGGAGCTTTCTCTCAAGTGCAGCTCAGCCTCCTCCCTTGGCTCCTCACTGCCCTCAAAATGGGGTTCAAGTGCCTGCATCTGTCATTCAAGGATTCTACAGTCTGCACCCTGAGGCTCTGCTCCATGAGCGTCCTTGTTCTTCCATTTCCAGCCTCCAGGACTGTCCTTCCTCCTCCAAGAAGCACTCCTGATATTCCTCCCTAGTGGAGACATCCCTCCACATTTGGGCTTTGCTGGCCTCCTCTCTCCCTTTAGCCCATCCCTGAGCCCATGTGGCTGGGAATGTCTGTGCCCTGCCGTTGCCCTCTGCAGACTGGGAGAGATCCTCAAGGCCTGGGTCTGGGGATGAGACATCTTTAGATGCCCAGCATCAACCAGGAAAGGTCTCCAGGTAACAGCTGGTGACTGAATGAAACACCTTCCCCTACTTGCACCCTCCCAGGGCCAACCCTGCCACACCAGCTCTTTTCTTTCCAACAGGATTCACCCACCTGTATCTCCCCCATTCACAACTAGGCTTCCCCCTGGCACCCAGAAACTAGGAGGGAACACAGCTGCCACATCCACAGGGTCAAGGCACCTGGGGCAGGCATGGCCAGGCCCCTATGGGCAACAAAGTAGCCACATAATGGGACAGTGCACCAGCACGGAGGGGCACACAGTGGGCACCTTTGGGAATGACACGCCCATCTGGAAGCTTAATGTCCTCTGTGCAGCGACGAGAGACAAGGGTCACAGGTGGGAACTGACGCAGGCTCTCCTTGATGCACATAGTGGTGAATGGCAGCTGGGTCAGGTCATCCCTGGAGAGAATGAGAGAATGGAACTGTGACTCTCCCAAACACACACACACACACACACACACACACACACACGAGCAGCTGGGCAGGAAAACAATTCAGGGTGTCAACGCTGCCCAACTTCTGCTATTTGTAGTGTCCCATGTTGTACCGCTAACACTTAGGATGCAAAATATCTGACCGTCAACCAATCAGAAAAGTAACCAATAAAAAGAGCAAGCCAGGTATAGTGGCGCACACCTGTAATCACAGCAACTTGGAAGATGGTGGCAGGAGGATTCTAAGTTTGAGGCAAGCCTCAGCAACTGAGTGAGACTTTGTCTCAAAATATAAACATGAAAGGGTTGGTATGTAGCTCAGTGGTAGAGTACCCCTGAGACTGGGTTCACCAGTCTCTCTCTCTCTCTCTCTCTCTCTAACACACACACACACACACACACACACACACACACACACACATAGCAAGCACTGGGGCTGGTTTCTGGGGGTCCCTACTGGGCCCAGCATTAATGCTTCAATGATGGATTACGTGGTGGACAGGGGGCACTCGGGGAGGTACCAGCATAACTAGAGAGGCTCAGAGCAACAGCAATTTATTTGCTTATATGGATCCATTTAAGTATGTATGTATGTATGTACAGAGACAGGGTCTCACTGTGTTACCCAGGCTGACTTAAACTCCTGGATTCAAGTGATCCTCCTACCTCAGCCTCCCAGTAGCTGGGACTATAGGCATGCACTACTGTACCCAACTATTTCATTATTTTAAAATCCTAGATGAAAGGAATAATAAAACCATGTGTACCAAAGGTTACTGCATAATCCAAATAGAGGGCTTTAGGTTAAACTGTGTCCATGAAAGAAAAAAAAAAAAAGACATGTTGAAGTCCCAGCCTCCAGCGCCTCCAAATGTAACTTATTTGGAAAGCAGTTTGTGTGAGGGTTAATGCTTCTGGACTTGGCATGAGAAGAATATGCCCCAGGATAGCCATTGATCCAGTGAGAATGAGGAGACCTATGGAACAGACCTGAACCAACTCTCTAACCCCAGAAGCCACAAGAGTGATGTACTGATGAGCAATAATTAAATACTTGCAGGGGCTGTGGTTATAACTCAGTGGTAGAGTATGTGCCTAGCATGTGTGAGGCATTGGGTTCAATCCTTATTGCCACATAAAAATAATAAATAAAAGTATTCTGTCTATCCACAAAAAAATTTTTAAATACAATAACATTTTTTAAATTTAATAAATAAATGCTTGCTGAAAATCACTGCATGTGAGGGATGTTTGTTCTGCAGCATTATAGCAAAAATTGCTGACTAAGACTATTGCATCCTGAGGCAGGCATAGGCATCATTATCATCCCCATGTTATAGCTGAAGAAATTGGGATTCAGGAAGCTCAAGTGACTTGTCTAAGGTCACACAATCAATCAGTAGTGGAGGAGAGAGTCACACTCAAGGCTCTGGCCTCAGCATGCCCCTTCAGCCACCTGACCTCCCCTGCCCCCCCCCCCCACAAAACTGACCACTCCAGTTCCTCCAGCTCCCGGCCTTTCATGACTTCCTGGATCTCTTCCCGGCACTTCTCCTGGTATTCTGGGTACTTTGCCAAGTTGAACAGCACCCAAGAGAGCCCACTGGATGTTGTGTCGTGACCTGCAGGCAGATGAGGTGTTTGAATGGAGACTGCCATCTCCAGGCAGACAATAGTGTCCACTTCAGTGTCCCCTAAAGGGACAATCGTGGCCCTTCCCACCCTCCTTCAGTTCCACTCCACATCCTCACCTTCAAACATGAAGGTGTCTGCCTCAGCTCGGATGTCCTCATCTGACAATTCCTTTCCATCTTCATCCTGGAATGGGTAGAACCGATGCTCAGGCCCCTGCATCCCACCCTCTGCCTCCTAGCGGCTCCTCCAGCGTTAGATCTGTCCCTTCTCTCTTAAGTCAAGTTGTGGGGAGAAATAATCTAGATGGAAGGAGATATGCTACTTGTATAAGAAAGATGGAGAGAAAGTGAAAGATGGAGAAGGAAGTTCATACAGCTGTGCACTGTTTAATGATAGGAACCCATAATGAAATGCATTGTGAGTCAATTTCATGATGGTGCAAACATCGGAGTGCACTTATGCAAACGAAGATGGCTATTATGTCACTGGAGGATAAAATCTATGGAAACACCATCACACATGTGGTCCATCACCAACCAAAACATCATCATGAAGCACATGGCTGACTTATTGAGGAGCTACTAACGTGATGTATTCCAAAGGCTGCCCCACGATAACTCTGTCTTCAGGTCTCAGAATCACCATGAGGAAACTGACATTCAGAGAAAAGAGTGATATGATTAAGGTTAAATATCCACTCAGTGGCAGAGACAGGGGTGGAATACAGGACCCTCTGGACCCAGAACCCAAATGCTGCTCAGAAATTCTATAGAAGGGCTGGGGATATAGCTCAGTGGCAGAGTGCTTGCTTAGCATGCATGAGACCCCAAGTTCCATCTCCAGCACTGCAAAAAAAAAAAATCCACAGTGACCCTACATCTTCTGTCACATGTCTTCAAGGTCATATATCTCATCTTTGTAAACGTTTTGGACTGAATTGTGCCCTGTCCCCTAGAATTTGTAAGTCCTAACTCCTAGCATCTCAGAATGTGACCACAATTGGAGGGAGGGTCTTTGTGAAGGTGAGCAAGTGAAAATGAGGTCATAAAGGTGGCCTTAATCCAATGTAGCTATGGTTCTTATAAGAAAAGCTTAGGGGGCTGGGGCTGGGGCTCAGTGGTGGAGCGCTTGCCTAGCACAGGTGAGGCACTGGGTTCAAATCCTCAACACCACATAAAAAGTAAATAAATAGTTATAAAAAAATATACTAAAGGGGCTGTGGCTGTGGCTCAGCTGTAGAGCACTCGTCTCACATGTGTGAGGCCCTAGGTTCGATCCTCAGCACCACATAAATAAAATAAAGGTATTGTGTCCACCTACAACTAAAAAAAAAATTTAAATATATTTTTAAAAAAGAAAAGATTAAGACAGAGACACACGCAGGGGGGAGATGATATGCAGACACAAGAAAGTGGCCATCCCCAAGCCAAAGAAAGATGCCTGCAGTAGACTATTCCCTCACAGCCCCTAAGAGAACTCAACCTTCCAGGCACGTTGGATTTCTAGCTTCCAGAACTGTAAGAGAACACATTTCTGTTGCTCAAGCCACCTCCTCTGAGGCAGAGGCATCCCTTGGTATCCACAGAGCACTAGTTCTGCGACATCCCCCCATGGATACCAAAATCCATGGATGCTCAAGTCCCTTATATGAAATGGCATGGGGCTGGGGGTGTGGCTCAGTGGTAGAACACTTGCCTAGTATGCGGAAGGCCCTGGGTTCAATCCCCAGATCATCAAAAAATAATTAAATTAAAAATCAAATAAAACAAAAAAAATCAAATAAATTATATAGCATAGTGTTACATGTTACCATGCAAAACCTCCCATACTTACACTTTAGGTGACTTAGAATACCTAATACAATAGCTATGTATATAGCTATTGTACTATAATAATAAATAATGACAAGAAAAAAGCCTGTACATACTCAATACAGATGCAATTCTTTTCAAATGTTATCAACCTGAGGTTGGTTGAATCTGCCTATGTGGAACTTGTGGATATGGAGGGAGGACCCACCATCCACATTCTTTACAAGCACATAATGAACCTTCCACAGGATAGCCCACCTCAGAGGTGCCCCCCCCCCCAATCCCAGCTACCCAGGAGGCCCAGGCAGGAGGATGGCAAGTTTGAGGCCAGCCTGGACAACTTAGCAAGACCCTGTCTCAAAATACCGTAAAATAATAAAAGGGCTTAGGATGTTGCTCAGAGGTAAGTGCTCCTGGGTTCAGTCCCAGTACCACAAAACAAAACCTCAGTTCATTTAAAAGGACCGAAATGTTTGTTACAGCAGCCTGAGCAGACACACAGTGGGTCTCACTTACATGCCCACATCTGACTCCATCCTAGATCTATGTGAGTTGGGGCATTTGTCATTTTACACACTTGGTGCAGTTCTGGGGAAGTCCCGGCTCCAGGGCCCCGCCTCACCCTGGCCAGGAGCAGCACATCGATGAAGTCCAAGGTCTTGCCCTGCTTGGCCTTCAGCCAGGCCTCGGCCCCCTGGTGGCGCAGCGCCTGCCTCCGCTCCTGGATGACTTCGGTGGTGAAGCGGTGCACGGTGTCGCAGGCCTGGCGGAAGCGCCGACCGTCCGCTGTGAGGTAGTAGATGAAGTCGAGGTGGTGATGCAGGCGGTACTGGCGCCTGACGACCAGCGCGCTCAGCTCAATGATGGCCGATATATAATCGCTCATCTTCCTGCCAGGGAGAAGACCATGAGCCGAGGACCATGCCCAGTCCCCGCCAGCCAGGGGCACAGCTTGGCTAGGTCAGGCCTCCTCTCTCCACTGGGCAACGACAAGAGAGGCCCCATATCACCTATATTTTCTGTAGATTTTGTATGCCTGTCTGTGTGTGTGTGTGTTAGTTTTTGCACTACTGGGGATAGAACCCAGGGCCTGGTGCATGCTAGGCAATTTCTATCACTGAGCCCAGGGGGCTGGGGAGCCCCCATGATGACTCTCTGGTGAATTAATGAATGAACTAACAAACCAGGGTAATGACTATTTTATTAGGTCATTCAACAGATAGTCATTGAGCACCTCCCATGTGCCAGGGCAACTGTGACATCATTTTATCCTTCCTGCACCTCCCCAAGAGTCAGATATTATCATCTTTGTTTTACAAATAAGGAAACCGAGACTCAGAAAGGGAGGGGCACTTTCCAAGGACTGTATGCTATTTGCGGAGGAATGAGGGAAAGTAGCATTGCCTGATCCCCTGTTACGTGCCAAGCCACTGACAACCATCTAATTAAGATAGTTACACCATGACCATGGGGGAAAATTATAATGTCTCTTTTTTTGGGGGAAGGGAACTGAGGCTCAGAAAGGTGGTATCGTTTAAAAAAAATAGGTGTAGAAGAACAGAGCACCTTTGTTTTGTTCATTTTTATGCGGTGCTGAGGATCAAACCCAGGGCCTCACAAGTGCCAGGCGAGGGCTTTCCCCTGCCTATACTCCAGCCCTGGTGATGTCATTTTTTCTGGAACCAAACAGCCATCTGTCCATCAGTGGCAGATGCCAGCAGCCTGGGTTGCCCAAGAGCTGGGAGTTCCCTTTCTCCTCCCACTGCCTCTCCCTGGGCAGCTGGCTCTGTCTCCCGAGGGAGGTCACACTCACTCCTGGCAGTCGCTGTTGTAACTGAACACACATTTCTGAAGACTGTCCAGGGTCATGAGGCTGATGTGCTCAAACATGTCAAAGGAGGCCACCGAGCCTTCTGCCAGAGTCCTCCGCCATTTGGCCTGGAAGAGAGCCAGGGCATGGGGACCTCAGACAGCACGCCACAGGTCATCACTCACCACACACCCGAGGTACAGCTCAAGGACTTGAGGTCTCCCCACAGCACGTGGCTCGCCCTGGAGCTGGGCTGGAGCAGTTGCTGTCCCCTTCCCCTGTCGCCTGAGACTCACGTGCATGACATTGGTGCACTGGTTGAAGATCTTCATGTAGGGCTTCAGGATGTCGAAGTGGAAGGCAGGCGTCAGCAGGCGGCGGTGACGGCTCCACTTGTCGCCTTTGCTGAGCAGAAGCCCGTCCCCTGGGCCCAGGAGACTGAGGTCAGGGGGCCTCCCCTGCTCCTCTGACTCCCTCCAAGGAACCCCTTGCCCTGCCCTCTCCTCCCTGAAACCTCAGCCCCAGCCTACCCGCTCGGCACTCACCTAGCCAAGGTTTCAGGAAGCTGTAGAAAAGGTCGTCCTTGGGAGCAATGGCAGCTGTGCAGAGACAGGAGGCAAAGATGACTCAAGACAGAGTTCTGACCCTGACCTCTGCTTATGACTTCCTAGGGCCACCTCTCCCACCTCCCACCTCACCCCTCCAGTCTACCCTTCACATCCAAACCAGAAAGATCCCTGAAACACACTGATCTGAACACGAAACCCCTGTTCATGTTACCTCCCACGATTCCCCATTGCCCTTGTGAAAGAGTTCAAGCTCAGCCTAGTGCTGAAAGGCCCTGCCCCATGTGGCCTCCACATGCCTCTCACACATCAGATAATCCCTTTCTCATTGCACGCTGACATTCACCTCCAAACCTACAGCCAAGCTGGGTGCTCCATATGGAATGGAGTCATCCTCTAACCCTCCCCGCTCTTTCCTGCCAGCTCGGGCCATCCGGAATTATACCTCCTGGGTTTCCCACCTGCAGTCACACCCTCCCTGTCTGTCCATCACGCTGGCCCCGGGGGGGGGGGGGGGATCTTACCTGACTATCAGATCTGACCAGGTCCCTCCCAGTTCACACACCCATCAACCCTCAAGCACCAGCAGCTCAGTCCATTTCCAAAGCCCTGGATGATCTGCCCTTGTGCAGACCTCTCTCAACACAGACACCTTTAGCTGCATGTGGTGGTGCATGCCTGTAATCCCAGGGACTGGGGAGGCTGAGGCAGGAGGATCGCAAGTTCAAGGTCCACCTCAGCAACTTAATGAGGCCCTAAGCAACTTAGAGACCCTGTCTCAAAACTTTTAAAACAGGGGTGGGGGGGGAGGGATGTTGCCCAGTGGTAAAACACCCCTGGGTCCAATCCTTAGTAAAAAAAAAAAAAAAAAAAGAAAAAGAAATAAAGAAAAGAAAAGAAAAGAAAAAGAATAGACACCTCTATTGCCCAGCCCCCTCCTGCTCAATGTCACAGAACTTTTCCCAGCTCTTCAAAAAGGCCATGTGCCCGCTCCACTCCAAGTCTTTCCATGAGCTGCCACCTCATCCCCAAACACTCTGTCCTTATCCTCTGGTCTCAGATTGGGTGCTGCATTCTCTCTCTACAATCCCACTGGATGGTAATTGTCCAGTTCTAAGCCCTTCACGGGAAGAGACCATTTTGATCACTAACATTTGGTGCTGAAGAAATTTTTATTCAATGAATGAATGAGCCAATCAATCAATCAAAGAATGGGTGAATAAAAGAAAAATGGATTGGTGGAAGGATGCACGGGTGGTGTGTGGGTGGATGCACGGATAGCTGCATGGCCCTTCTATACAATGAAAAGATTTGGGACTGAATGGGGAGTGGCCCAAAAAGGAAGGACCTGAGATGCAAATGCAGTCACTGAAGACTGGATATGACTCAGCTCCCGCCCCACACACGCGCCCTGCAGTTGGCCAGTTGGTACACACAGTCATCAGTCTCCTCATCCTCCCATTCGACACACCCCTCAGCTGCCGTTCCCTGCCCAACCCATGATGTGTGACGCTGGGGACCCAAGGATGGCTCAGCTCCACGCCCTGCCTGGAGGAGCTCTGGGGTGGTGTGGGAAAAAGGAAGCAGAGGCACACAGGTGCTAAGGGTGGCACAGGGAAAGGGCTACTAGAAGTCGGGGCAGGCTTCCTGGAGGAGGCAGCATTGGAGAGGGAGGTGGGAGTCCGGTTACACCTCTCCTCCCCGGACTTTGAACTCCAGGTTAGGTGCCCGGTGGGGTTTGACTTGACACTCAGATCTGATCGATGGCTGCCCTGCTCAAAAAACTCCCATGGCTCCCTATTGATCAAGGGCAAGTTCATTTGCTTTTCAATCCAGCTGTTGCTTAACTCTCAATCTCATTTCCTACTCCCCACGCACACAACCTGCACTCCAGCCAACCCAGTGACCTGAATTTTTCCTGGTATTTTCCACAGCTGTACCTTGAGAATGTCAGGTGCCTCTAGTTGGTAAACTCCTAGGCATCCTTCAAGGCCTGGTTTCACTGAAGCCTCCTCCAGGAAGCCTTCACCAATCCCTCTCCCCAGCAGAACCCTGGTTCTCCTGTCCTCAGGTCCCTCTCCACTCCAACTCTATCCCCCGTGCCAAGACAGTCTGCGTCTGGGTCTCCTCCCATCAGATTCCCTCTCCAGCAAAGTGGAGCCCTTGATGCCTCACTCAGGAGAAAAGCCCCCCACGTGGTGCCCAGCAGGGGGCAGCTCTCCCACCCAAGGCTACAGATCATGGGGGTTGAGAGCTTGAGTTGGGTTCACACCCCAGCCCTGCTACTCACTGACTGTCCAGACTTGGACCTTTACCACTCTGCCCCTTCCATTTCCTCATCTGCGGAAGGAGGAAACAGAACAATCTTGCCTCATGGCATCCTGTGACACTCAGCAGGCCAATGTGTCCTGGCACCCGGTAGATGCTCATTAAATATGTGTGCGCGTAAATGAATAATTGACCCGCTGCCGGCTATTTGGTTACTGCAATTATAATTATTGCTTATTGGCATCAAAAACTTGTGAGGTGGCTATCCAGGTCCCCTATTAGTGACAAATGAACGCACAGCTGGTGTGGAAGATCGAAAGGGCCTTCCTTAGAAAGTCAAATACACAGCTGCGGGTGTGGCTGGGTGGCACTGTATGTGCTTAGCCGGTGTGAGGCCCTGGGTTCCAAAAAAAAAAAGTCAAATGTAGAATTACAAAAGACCGACCATTCCACTCCTAGGTATCCCAAGAGCAATGAAAACACAGAGGCTGGAGCTCGGGGTAGAGAGTTTGCCTGGCATGTGGGAGGCCCTGGGTTTAATCCCCAGCACAGGAGAAAGAAAAGGGGGGAGAAAAGGAAAGGAAAGAAAGAAAAGAGACGGAGGAAGGAAGAAGAGGGAATGCGGCCATACCAAGACGTGAGAGCAGAGACCCAGTGTGTGTGACTCCTTTTATATGACATTATAGACCAGATGAATGCAAGGACAGGAAGCAGAGGGAGGTACCAGGAAACAGGCAGGGGGATGGATGCGATTACTTCTTGAACACAGGGGGTTTTACGGGGTGAGGAACATCTTCTGACACTAGGGAGACCTGTGGTTGCACATCTCTGTGACCACATCAGATGCCACCGACTATTCCCTTTAAAATGGTTGATTGTACGTTATATGAATTTCACCCCAATAAAAAAATGAGTGCATCCCAACAAGCTGTGCTGACGGGCTTAGAGATCATGACTTGTCTTCTGTAAAGGTTTCCACCTACTTTTGCCCATGCACAGTCCCTATTCCACGTGCCCAGAAGACTAGGAGGTGAAAGTTCCAAGAGACACCATCCCTGCCTTCCTTGGGGCCCAGGGACTGTGTAGGTTCAACCCCAGAGCAGCATCCCCCCCCCCCCGCTGCGGTCCCAGGAGGTCCCAGAGGAGGACAGAGGCTGTGAGCTGCAGTCAGGCCAGCCTAATCTCAGCAGGAAGGACAGAAGGACGGGAGCTCCTGGGCCAGGAGGCCCCCTCCATGCTGACAGCCTCACCCTGTCCTGTCAGGAGACCCCCCGTCCACTCCTCCGTGGCAGGAGGCAGTGGATATCCTGCCTGTCCTGAAGGAGAGGAGAGGAGGGGAGGGAAAGGGGCCTGAGTGTCTATGAAGTGCGGGGACCATGCTGGGGCTCTACCTGGGGACTTAACCACCACTCAGAAGGTGCTCAGGACACTGATGTTCTAAGGAGTCAGATGAGAAGGAAGAGGAGGAGGAGATGGAGGCAAAAGAGACAGAGGAAAGGCAGGGGGAGAAAGAGAAAGGGGGGAAGGAGGAAGTGGAGAAAGAAGAAGGAAAAGTACACTAAAAAGACATACAGCCTGCCCAGTGGTGTGGGTCTGCCATTCCAGCTACTTAGGAGGCTGAGGCAGGAGGATCTCAAGTTCAAGGCGAAACTGGAGAACATAGCAAGAACCTGATTCCAAACAAAATAAAAAAGGCTCAAGATGTGGCTTAGTGGTAGAGCAGTTGACCAGCATGTAAGAGGCATGGGGTGCGTTCCATCCCCAGCACTGCAAAAAATAAGCCCTTATTCACATCTACCCATGTTATTATAGCTATGCTTTTGCAATACTGGGGTTGGAACCCAGGACCTCGTCGTGCTAGGTGAGCACTCCACCACTGAACTACACCCCGGGCCTCACATTATGTTAGTCAGTCTTAGTAACAGCCCCCCTTTTACAGATCAGAAACAGGCTCTGAGAGGCTTGCAAAACCACTAGCATCACACAGCAAATATGGGCAGAAACCAGGATTTGGACCCAGCCCTTTGGAGCTCTGATTCAGGCTTCTGGCCACAAATGGGTGCCCAGTGCTTGGAAGAAAGAACCACTTCTCCCAGGGTCTAGGATCCCCTGTAGTTCAGTGGGGATCATCATTCCTTCCCAGATGCAATAAGGGGGGACCACGGGGCTGTGGAGGGCATAGCTGGGGAAGGAAAGGCGGGCAGCCCTGTCCTCTTTCACCACCCCTGGGGGGCAGCTTGGAAGGCAATCTCCAGATGTGGGTTTGTAGAGGCCCAAACTGGGGCCAGAGACCCCCAAATTCTTGGGGATCTTTCCTTCACATCCCTCCATGCTCCAATGTCCCCTGATGCCCAAATCCATGCGAGACTATGTCCCACCATGAGGCAGAAGAGCTGGACGTGGCCTCACCGAGCCCCAATGGATCAAGACTGAGAACAAAATGTCCCGAGGGGAGAGCTACGAGTCTCTGGAGTTGGGTGCTGAGGGATGAGAGAGATGAGGGACAGCTGGAGTCCCAGAGCTTGGGACAGGTGTGGACCGCAGCAAGGAGACGCAAGCCTTCCACGTCCTTCCTGCCAGTCAAGGCCAGCCCAGGTGGTGAAAGCAGGCTGAAGGATGGGCCACCAAGACGCCAGTCATGGTGGGAGTATCACAACTCAAACGATGGGTGTGTCACGGGCTGGGATTGAGCAACACCTACTTAACCAAACCTGAAGAGAACAACTTCCTATCCAAACCTGCTTGGTTCTGACTTCCAGGGAGGTGGACAGCCTCTAGGCATCGTCACACTTCTGTCCCCGATGTTCCATGACCCATATTGCCATTGCTGCCTTGGTGAACTCCTATTCATTCCTTAAAGCCCTACTCAAATGCCCCTTCCTCTGGAGAGACCACCTGCCTAGAAGCCCAGATAGAATACGGGAGATGAGGGTTCAGTCAGCACTCACCCAAGAGGCCCAGCCGGCCTACCTGAGGCGCCCACCAGGGGCTTGATGTAATCAGGGTGCACAAGAACCAAGAGCGGCAGGACGGGTCCGATCCACACCAGGACCACATGGTGCATGCTGTCCAACACCTTCTTCTCGTCCTGAAGACCCGACTCGTTTGGAAGGTACTGTGGCAGGTAAAAGAGGGGAGTGAGGACATGCTCAGCCTCAGCGTCCTCCAGTCCTGCCCTCCTGCCACCTCCCTCCCCTCAAAAATGAGCCCAGAAGTGCTAAATGATGGCGGGTGGTGGCTGCACCTGGCTGAGCCTCCACCTCCTCCTCTGAAAAATGGAGAACACCAAGTCTCCCTCTGAAGGCAGCCCAGAGGATCAGAGAAAGAAGTGAGAGCCACCATGGGGCCTGACACACAGCTGGCTCAAGAAACAAAGATAAACCCAACACGGTGACACAAGCCTGTAGGACCAACAGCTTGGGAGGCTGAGGCAGGAGGACCCCTTGAGCCCAGGAGTACAGAGGCCACCTGGGCAACATAGTGAGACCCCATCACAAAAAAAGAAAGGAAAATAGTAATTGTAAACACATTAATGGTAAGTGTTGGCTTTTTTCAAATATTTGCTATTTTATTAAAAAATACCACTAGGACCCTTGAACTGGGGCACATGCCTAGATCCCAGCCACTTGGGAGGCTGAGGCAGGAGGATCTCAAGTTCAGTTCCAGCCTGGGCAACTTAGCAAGACCCTGTCTCAAAAAAGAAAAAAGGGGCTAGGGCTGTAGCTCAGTGGCAGAGCACTTGCTTAGCACATGTGAGGTGCTGGGTTAGATACTTAGCATCACATAAAGACACACAAATGAAATGAAGGCATGCTGTCCATCTACAACTAAAAAAAAAATTAAAGAAAAAGAAAAAGGGCTGGCGCTGCAGCTCGGTGGTAAAGCATCCCAGGTTCAATTCTAGTACGTACGTGCATATGTATTTATTTATATATACATTTACATTGTATTTGTATATGTATCCATAGATACATATGCATATATTTATTTATAGAAAAGTTTACTTATTAGAAGTTCAAAGCCAGGTGCAGTGGTGCACCGCCTGTATTCCTAGTGGCTCGGGAGGCTGAGGCAGGAGGATCGCAGGTTCAAAGCCAGCCTCAGCAACCTAGCGAGGCTCTAAGCAACTTAGTGAGACCCTGTTTTGAAACTTAAAAAAGGGCTGGGGATGTGGCTCAGTGGTTAAGCACCCTTGGGTTCAATCCTTGGTACCAAAAAAAAAAAAGTTCACTTACACAGTAGCGCAAATACACTAACACTAACCCTATCAATAAAACTAGGATTAACCCCACTTCATGTTTTTTAATTGGAGTTTTTCCCACATCTTTATTGGTGCATTATAGTTGTACATAGTGATAGGATTTGTTGTCACGTATTTGCACATGCACACAACATATAATACCACAATATAATTTGGCCCACTCTTTTTTTTTTTTTTTTTTGGTACTGGGGATTGAACTCAGGGGCACTTAACCACTGAGCCACATCCCCCAGCCCAATTTTGTATTTTATTTAGAGTTTTGAGGACCAGAAGTGACACTAGGTATCCCACTCGTCTCAGGCCTCATTCTTCTACCGGGTCTCAATTGTGTGCAAAGCTGCACCGTCAGCGACCCACCACTAATAATAACCACAGGCACTGCCACCGATCCCCCCAGGCGGCTGGGGAGGACTTAACAAACCCAGCTGGGAGAGCCCTCGCCCATCTCCACTGCCCACGGAGGAGGAGCAGGAGCCGCCGCTGTGCAGAAGCCCCCTTAGCCCCCCTTAGCCCCCCTTAGCCCCCCTTAGCCCTTCACAGCTCGGACAACCTCTGCATTTACGAGGTTCAACCTTAACTGTCAAACTACACGTGCGCACACGCTGCGCTGCCGAGTGATGCCTGTTCCACATGGACCTCTGGACGTGTCCGAGGACCCGGGGAGGTTTATTCTTTTTTCCACTTGACTTTGTTCAGAAAGGTCAAAGGGCTTGTCTGGGGTTCCAAGTGAGTGGGCAACTGTCCTGGTGGGGGCTCCCTCGCAAGCAGGTGCTGAAACAAGGGTCCTGGGGAAGCAGATCATGTGGGAGGTGACCCTCCCAAACATGGGGAGATGTGGGGAAGTGAGACCGGAGGGACAGGGACGGCAGCCAGCGCAGGGGAGCTGTCAAGCCACCCGAGGGGGAGGCGCCGGAGAGTCTATCCACCCGTGTCCGTCAGTCCTTGGCTGCAGGCTGCTCCTGGGGGCACGAACTCCCAAAGCCCCTAGAATGCAGGTGCCAGCAGTGGAGGATGGACCATTTGCACCCAGACACAGGACAAGAGAAATGGGCAGGTTTGGGCATTGTCTGTCACAGTGGCAAAGTCGGGATCTGAAGGTGGACAGACCCGCTCTATATATTCTGGGAGGCAGCCCTTCAGGATCCGGTCAGATGGATCTGAGTTCAAATTCATCTTCAGCAGCTGTGTGGCTGTGGGCAAGTCAACTCAACCTCTCTGGGTTCACATCTATAAAAGTGAATCCATTATACAGGGCAGATCCATCCCTGTTTTATAGACTGAGAAATCCAGGAAGGCTGGGCTGAGGCGGTGGCTCAGGGGTAGAGCGTTTGCCTAGCACGTGTGAGGCACTGGGCTCGATCCTCAGCACCATGTAAGAAAATAAATAAATAAAATAGAGGGACCGTGTCCATCTACAACTAAAAAGTATATTCAAAAAAAGAAACAGGGGTAGTTGGGGCTCAGCAGTAGTGCACTTGTCTGGCACGTGTGAGGCACTGGGTTCGATTCTCAGCACCGCATATAAATAAATAAAATAAAGGTCCATCAACAATTAAAAAAAGAAACAGGAAAAGGCTCTGATTCTAACAACCTAACCCAGTACTGGCCAGTGCTTGGTCCCAATGATAATTAAATGAACAAATTAATCTCTTTGGTTCCGGCCTCTCCTCCTCTACCAGGTTCAGCCCTCTGCCCATCTGTACCCAAGGCAAATCGGGCCTCCCCCAGTCCTCATGGGCCTCATGGGCTCAAGACTGGGCTGCAGAGCCAGCCCTGGCCAACTGCCCAGGGCCCCAGAGGCCAGTCACCACTGCCTCTTGGACCACCATCGAAGCCAGAAAGGGCTTCCTGGAGCAAGGACATTGGACATGGGGCGTGAAGACCCAGGAGAAGTTTATCTAGCAGAGAACAGAGGGCATCATTCAGCAAAGGCTGTTGGAAGCTGGAGCCTTGGTACAGAAACTGGAAGCCAATCCTCGGGACTGGGGAGGATGGTGAAGCAGGTGAGAGGGTGTGGTCAGAGTTGAAAGGGTGAGCCTTTCTCCCAAGGGCACTGGGGAGCCATGGAGGGTATGTGAGCAGGAGAGGGTCATGGTTTGATTCAAGAATCCCTCTGGAGGACTGGGGGCATGGGTCAGTGTAGAGCTCCTGCCTAAAAACTGTACAAGGCCCTGGGTTCAGTGCCCAGCACTGCAAAAGTCAAAAACAAAGAAAACCTCTGGGGTCAGGATGGGAGACAAATTGAAGGACTGAGATGGAAAGCAGCTGTACCCTGGCCCAGCTGGGGAGGATGGACAGGGCTGGGGCTGGGGGAAGGAAGGAGACTCAGGCACACACAGGCAAAATCTGATGGTCCCCAAGGGGGAAGAAGGGCTGGGAACCTCCTCCCTCCTAAGCCTTCCATCTGAGATAATTCTCACCATTAAACAAAATGTTCTTTGAGCTACTAATTTGCAAATATGTATCCCAGTCCTTCTTCCCAGGCAGTCAATCCAAGCAGTGCCCAAAATTACTTCTAGAATCCTTCCATGCTTCCAGTTTCTGCAGGACCCAGCAGCTGAGCAGACACTTCTGCCACAAGGCGCTTGCTAAAAGCCAAGCTCAGTGTCAAGGGCACAACAAGCACAACCCGAGGAATCCAAACAACGACCGTGAGGCTACCAAGAACTGTAGAGCAAGTGGGGAAACTGAGGCATGGGGCAGTTAAGTCGCCTGCTCCAGGCCACAGAACCAGTACATGGTAGAGACGGGCCTCCAACCCAGGGCTCCAAAATCCACAATGATGACCATTGCCTATCCAAAGTCCACTCGAAGCCCAGCATGATGCCTGGACCAGGAATCTCCAGAGGCTGTTCCTGAACTTCACTGAGGCCTACAAGTGGGTCCAGGGGTCCAAGCAGCTGGGTCCTGGGACCCGCAAACCTCCCTGCTCTCAGGATCTGGATTTCTCTCCTGACTTCTGTAGGCTTTTTGGAAAAGCCCAGCCTGTCTCATCCATAGCAGGGACAGTGAAGCCAAACAGCCTGAGTTTGAACCCTGGCTCAGACACATACTTACTGGGTTACCTAGGGCCAGCTACTTAACCTCTCTGTACCTTGGTATTCTTAGGTACAAAATAATAATAGATAGTCCTGAGACCTAACTTCTAGGATTGTCAAGAGGGCTGAAGGAGTTAATATTTGCCTAGAATACTCGGAATATGTTCATGAAATAAAAATTGAAAGACAAGAAATGGTAAAAGGCTAGAATGGTGACCTGGGATCCACAGCATTTGAGGGAGAGAGTGAAGACACAATGGGGTGTAGAGGAAGCAACAAAATCTATAGGAGCCTCCTTCCCCACTCCTGCTCCCACCCCTGCATCCCCCACTTTACAAGGGATGGTACCTAGCGCTACAGCAGTAGCTACAGAATTATAGAAAGAATTCATCTTTAAAGTCAGCTCTGCCTCATCCCAACTGTGTGACCTCGGGTAAGTTGCTTGCCGCCTCTGAGCTCCAGTGGATGCACTCATAAGAGCAATGGGGAGCCATGGAGGGTATGTGACCAGAGTCCTGGAGGCCAGCAGAGCCACACCCTTGCTGAATCCCGGGGCGTGCCCAGCTCTGCCGGGCCGTACTCACCATACCCAGGTGGCCCAGCAGCCAGTTGCGCCGGGGCGGCTGAGGGAAGCAGCGCAGCCGGCGGCAGGTGACGTGGAAGCCCCAGCAGAGGCGCCAGAGCTGCAGCAGCAGGCGGAAGAGGAAGAAGAGCCCGGAGAGCAGGAGCGCGGAGACGGCGTACACGCGGAACGCGGTCCTCTGCAGCCCCAGGAGCTGCAGGAGTTGGTCGGTGATGGGCAGCATCTGGGGGGTGGAGAGTCGGAGCTGGTGGGGCCACGCCCCTGCTACACCAGGCCACCCACGAGATGGCCAAGGGGTCAAGCAAGGTGTGCTCAAGTCCTGACACCAAGACCCCTCTGCACCCCCAGCCACGACAGCAGCTGGCACTCAGCCCCATCCGGACGCCTTCAAGCCTTGACGCCTGCAGGGCCACCCCTGGTGACCTCTGCCCCATAGAATTCTCTGCCCCTGTCCGGCTGATCAGAGTCCTCGAAGGAGCGGCTCTCAACCAATGGAGGATGTACATTGGTGGATAAATACCCCGACTCCTTTGTCCCGGCTTTCCCAGCAGGACTAAACTCAGCTGCCCACTGCAGAAACTTTCTCTGTTGGCTGCCTCTCTGCCCCTGTCTTACCTCCCTCTCCCTCTTCCTTTTTTTTCCCCCCAACTGAGCTGAAATTCACATAAGACAAAATAAAGCATTTTAAACTGAGCAATCCACACAATGGAATATTATTCAGCCATAAAGAAAGAACAACATCCTACAATAGAATCCTATTGTAGAGGGAGCAACAAAAATATTGGCAGCCAAATGGATGGAGCTGGGGGGGACATTATGTCTAGCAAAATAAGTCACTCAACCTGTTGATTGTTTATTACAGGGTCTCACTATGTTGCCATACTGACCTTGAACTCCTGGACTCAATCGATCCTTCTGCTTAGGCTTCCTGAGTAGCTGGGACTACAACACCACACCTGGCAAATGAAATCAATAAGACACAGAAAGATAAATATGTATGTTTCCCTCATATGGGGATATTTAAAAAGAAAGTCAGCTGGAATATGTAAGAGTAATTATTAGAAGATGGAAAGCCGGGAAGGCGGAGAGGGAAATGGGTACCAGCACACAGTTAGGTTGAAGGAATAAGTTCTATCTACTATATAGAGATATATACACTAGAACTGGAAATTGAACTGAGGGGCACACTACCCCTGAGCTACATCCCAGCCCTTTTTATTTTGAGACAGGGTCTCACTAAATTGCTGAGGCTGGCCTCAAATTTGCTATCTTCCTGCCTCAGCCTCCAAATCACTGGGATTACTAGTGTGCACCACTGTACCTAGCAACCTATTTTTTAAAAATATTTCTTAGTTGTCAATGAACCTTTAATTAATTAATTAATTAATTAATTTATTTATTTATGATGCTGAGGATCAAACCCAGGACCTCACTCATGCCAGGCAAGTGCTCTACCATTGAGCCACAACCCCAGCCCTATTTTATATATTTTTTTTAATGAAGAACCAGAAGAGAGTTATTCAAAGGCTCCAAACACAAAGAGATGAAAATATTGAGAGCCACAATCTAATTAGTATATATCATATACACACACTGAAATATCACACTGTACCCCATAAATATGTACAATGATGATGTGTCAATCCATTTTTTGAACGTTTAAGGGGAGAGAGAGGTTGACTACCTGCTCTGATCATTACACACTGTACACAGGTGTTGAATTTTGACCCTGCACCCCATAAACATGTATAATTGAGATTTTTGAAAATTAATTAAAAAGCTAACCATTCAGTGGCATTTAAGATATTCACAGGGTCATACAGCCATCAACTCTACCCAGTTCCAGAACTCATCACACCAAAAAGGAACCCATGCCTGTTAGCACTCACTCCCCATCTTCCCTCCCTGAGACCCCTGGCAACAATTAACCTGCCTTCTGTCCCCGTGGATGTGACTATTCTGGATGTTTCATATAAAAGGACTCACAGAGGATGTGGCCTTTGGTGTCTAACTTAATCCACTCGGCATAGTGCTGTTAAGACTCATCCACACCTTGCAAGACTCAGCACTTCATTCCTACACTGCTCAGTGATATTCCCCTGAATGGACATGCCACATTAAAAAAAAAAAAACAAAAAAACTGTAGTTGTAAGTGGACACCATGCCTTTACTTGTTTATTTTTATGCGGTGCTAAGGTGTGAACCCAGTGCCTCACACGTAATAGGCAAATGCTCTGCCCCTGAGCTACAGCCCCAGTCCTGGGCATGCCACGTTTTGTTAATTCATTCATCTGTTGGACGGTCATTTGGGCTGTCTCCACTTTGGGGCAACTGAGAAATATACTACGCTGAACATGTATGCACACATTTTTTTTTTAGTACCTGTTTTCAATTCTTTGGGGTTCTTCGTCCTTACTGGTATTTTCTGCAGTGGCCTCTAGAAGACACAGTTGGCACTTGCCTTGGGGTAGCTCCTGCAGAAACCAAAACAAGAACATGAAGAAAACAGTGAGCAGGGATGAAGGGCTTACTGGGTGCCAGGCACTGTGATCAGGCTGCGAAACCCTCCTCGTGGAATCTCACATTGGTCCTTCGAAATAGGTTTCACCCTTCTCTCCATTTTCCAGGCCCAGTTCCTGAAATTCAAAGGAGACAGGAGCATGCGGAGGTTCCCTGAGCCCCTACCAGGGGCCAACGTCAATCACTCTCACTTTGGGGACCACAATTCCCGGGTAACCCCAAGAAGGTTCTTGAAAATGGCTGGGTCCTGCCCTCTTCTCTTTTGCTCCCAATCCTACCACCTAAGTGATCCTATCTGCTTGGACAACACAGCTAGAGGAATCCCTGTGCTCAGGTCCTCTCCTGGGTCCTCCATCCCCACATGCCCCACCCGTGACGCCCTCCCCCACCCGTGACGCCCTCCCTCCATCAAGTCTCTTCTAGGAGTCAACACCAAACCGCATCAGAAGTGAAATTTCCCCTCATTATCACACCCTGGGAAAACAGCTAGGAGCTAGGCAAAGGTGGGTCGTCTGCAAATTTGGAGAGCTCCGTTGGGAAGGGTGGTATGACTGAAGCACAGAACTACATGATCACACATTAGGGTGGCTACTATATCCAAAAAAGCAGGGCTGAGGCATAGCTCAGTGGTAGAGCACTTGCCTACCATGCCTGAGTCCTGGTCCCATCCCCTGCATGATTTAAAAAAAAAAAAAAAGACATAAAATAACACGTGTTGGAAAAGATATGGAGAAATTGGAAACTCAATGCACTATTGGTGGGAAGGTTAAAGGGTGCAGCTGCTATGGAAAACATTAACGCTATGTGTTTTAAAAATTAAGTATGGAATTATCATAAAATCCAACCATTCCACCTCTAGGTAGAAACCAAAAAAAGTGAAAGTCCAATCTTCAGGAGCAGTTTGTACAGCCGCGTTCCCAGCAGCACTACTAACAACAGCCAAAAGGTGGACGCCACTCAAATGTCCATCCATGAAGAATAGATAAACAAAATGTGGAGCATCCTCAGAACAGACTGTATTCCGCACTCATTCTTAAAAGGAAGGACGTTCTACCTCCTGCTGCAGTATGTAGGAGCCTTGAGGACATCATACAAATATTGCGTGATTCCGTTTCTCTGTCATCCTCAGAACATAAAATCCACAGACAGAAAGCAGAGTCGTGGGTTCGGGGACTGGAGGAGGGAGACGGGGAGTGAAGGTGTCCTAGGCACAGAGTTTCAGTTTTGCAGGATGAAAACAGTTCTGGGGACCGAGGGTGGTGAAGGACGATGGTGGTGAAGGACAATGTAAGCCCTTGTCAACACTCCATGCTTCCCAACTGTACGCTTAAAATAATTAAAAAGGCAACATTGATTCCAATGAGTATTTTATCAAGTTTAAAAATTTTGAAGAAATACAGACCCAGAGTTGGCAATCTTCCCTTTGGATGTTCCCCCGGGGTCAGGGTCGGGATGGAAAATAACCAAACTCCCAAATGGACTCACAAGGAGGTCCAAGTCCCGAGTCCCAGGTACATGCTTTGAACTTGGTGGGCAGCTCCAGGTGACACCCTGCACTGAGCCAGACTTGAGTTTCCATTTCTTTTTCCATTAAACAGTAGCTAAAGATTGTCTTCAGCAACGTCAGGAAGGCCAGCCACCTACTCTTCATTGTGACCATCCTCTTAGTGCCGGCCCGTGCCACACCCTCACTAAATGCTTTGCTTTAGCATTCAGTTGGCAAATACTTTCTGCGCCCCAGCTCTGGGTGTGACTCAGCGCCAGGTGTTTGGGGAACTGATGGTATGAGCAGGATGCATGTGGCCCAGGCGCTCAAGGGAGGAGACCACTCACAGGCATGATGAAACATGATGTTAAGTACCTGGTCGAGTTGAAAGGAGGGAAAGCCCGGAGTGGCACGTTGGATAATGTCCCCTCGTAGATACCCTTTCCTAATCCTGCAACCTGTGAATGTAACCTCCTATGGCAAAATCTTTGCAGATGTGATGAAGTTGGGAATTTTTTTGTTTTCATTACTTGGGATTGAACCCAGGGTGCTCTACCACCGAGCTACATTCCCAGGACTTTTAACTCAATTGCCGAGGTTGGCCTCAAACTTGCCATCCTCCTGTCTCAGCCTCCAGAGCCACTGGGACTTACAGGTGTGCACCAAAAATATTTTTTATTTATTCTAATTAGTTACACATGACAGTAGCATGGACAAATTAAGGACCTTGAGCTGGAGAGAGAAGTCTAGATTACTCAGCTGAACTTAAATATAATCGCAAGTGTCCTTGTAAGAAAGAAGCTGAGTGAGATTTGTCACATAGAAAAGGAGAAGGCCAGGTGAAGAAGAGGCAGAAGTTGGTATGACAGGGCCACAAGAAGCTGAGAAAGTGAGGACAGAATCTCCCCTAAAACCTTCTGGGGGTGGGTGTGTCTGCCCAGCTGACTGAGTGTCAGGCTTCTGACCTCCAGACTGTGGGAGAATAGATATATATTGTTTGAAGCCACCTGGTTTGTGGTCATTTTTGTTACAGCAGCCACAGAAAACTCATACACAGGGTAAGGGGATGAAGAACAATTCTTTTACACAAAATGGTCTAAGGGAGCCCCCCTGGGAAGGACATCTGGGCAGAGACCTGAGTGAAGTGAGGAACCTAAATTAAAGGGGGGGGGTCTTGTTAAATGCATGCAAAACATACATGCACACACACACTCCATTAACATGTGAACATCGAGGTCCTAATTCTGACTCCTTCAGTGGCTGACTATCTGGCCTGGGCCTCACTTTACCCATGTGCACCTGGAGGTGATTGTAACACATGATTTCTGGGTTGACCCCATTGTGATCCTTCCTGCACATAACCCAGTGATGGTGGGGAGCCTATAGCATCATATGGGTTGGTTCAAGAGTTCTTGGAGGGATTCAACCTACTCAGCCCACAGGGGGCCACATGCATCATCTCTGCCCCTTGGGCTCTCTGGCTCCCATCCCAGCCACCATAATCAGCTTCTCAAGGCCTGAACTCCTGTGCTCTAACACCTTCCATGGCGCCAGTCTTCCCTCAGCCTGGCATCCAAAGCCCTTTGGAAGCGCAGCCCTGCCCACCATCCACTTCAGCCTCAAAGATCCCCTTTCCCAATCTTCTTTGGATCCCTCTTTCTTCATCCAACTTATATATTTTGGGGCTCCCGAGGTTGCTCCTTCCCTTCCTTCTGGGAACACTTCCTGGGGATGTCAGCCCCTCCTGTGGCTTCAATGACCTAGTCTCTGGGTCATTTCTATGTCTTGGTGTCCCACACTGAGTATCCTATGGTGGGCTCAGCCACTGCCTGGATTTTCCCCTGAGGGCATCTCCCAGATTCACCTCAACCCCTTCCTCCCTCCTGTCCCCACATCCGAACTCCTGCCCAGTTCTGCCAGTTGTCTGCCCTGAGCTCGTTTCACATCCCCCCTTCTCCATCCCCATCATTCCAACTTGCACCAGGCCACCGTTGGAAAGTAGCCTCCTAACGGTCTCCAGAACTCCATCCTTGCCCTCCAGGAGCATGCCATCCTCCACACAGCAGCCAGAGGGGTCTTCCCAAAATTGAACCTCTCCTGCTGAAAATCCTGTCATGGCTCCCCATTATACTCTGAAAAAAAAATCAGACTCCTCATGGATCACAGCACTCTTCATGGGACAGCTTCAGCCATAAAAAAGAAGGAAACAAATATTCAAATAAAATTTTGTGATTGTGTGTGCATGCACAATGTGTGTGTGTGTGTGTTGCTGGAGATGGAACCCAGGGCCTCATGCATGCTAGGCAAGGGCTCTGTTGCTGAGCTACATCTCCAGTTCTCAAGCAAATTCTTGTATACAAGAATCATCAAGAAGTGGAAAAATCCAAACATTCATCAACGATGAATGCAAAAATAAAATATGGTATATCCATACAATGGGATATTATTCAGCCATAAAAAAAGAATGAAATACTGATCCATGACACAACATGGATAAACCTAGAAAACATGATGCCAAGTGACAGAAGGTAGTCACAAAAGACCATAGAAGGTATGATCCAATTTATATGAAATGACCAGAACAAGCAAATCCATAGAGACAGAGAGCAGAGGAGTTGTTGCCAGGTGCTGGGGCGGGGGTGGGGGGTAGGGGGTGGGTGCAGGGCATAGATGCTAATGATGATGGACTCTTTTGGGGGATGAAAATGTTCTGGAACTAGACAGTGGTGGTGATTGCACATCATTATGAGTGGCCTAAATGCCACTGAACTATGCACTTAAAAATGGTTAATTTGTAATATTGTTAAAATGGCCACACTACCAGAAGTAACATACAGATTCAATGCAATCCCCATCAAAATACCAATGGCATTCTTCACAGAGATAGGAAAAAAAACAGTCTAAAGATTCATTTGGAAAAATGAAAGATCCAGAATAGCCAAAGCAATTCGAAGCCAAAAAAGCAATGCTGGAGGCATCATAATCCCTGATTTCAAATTATACTACAGAGCTATCATAACAAAAACTGTATGGTACCAGTATAAAAACAGACACAGAGATCAATGGTCAACAATAGAACACACAGAGAAAAACCCACTCAGATACAGTCATCTGATACTTGTCAAAAACACAGATTGGAGAAAAGACAGCCTTTTTAACAAGTGTGCTCATAAAACTGGTTATCCAATGTAGAAGAATGAGACTAGACCCTTATCTCTCATCCTGAACAAAAATCAACTCAAAATGGATCAAAGACCTCAGAATTAGAACAGAAACTATGCAACCCCTAGAAGAAAATGTAGGGTTAAAAAAAAGAAAGAGAGTCTGCCACAGTGGCACACGTCTGCAATCCCAGTGGGTCAGGAGGCTGAGGCAGGAGGATCTTGAGTTCAAAGCCAGCCCCAGCAAAAGCAAGGCACTAAGCAATCCAGTGAGACCCTCTCTCTAAAAAAATACAAAATAGGGCTGGGGATGTGGCTCAGTGGTTAAGCATCCCTGGGTTCAATTCCTGGTACCCCCCCGCCAAAAAAAAATAAAGAAAATGTGGGGTCAACTCTAACCTATAAGCATAGGCCACAACTTTCTCAATAGGACCCCTAAAGCTCAGGAGAAAATGCTAAGAATTAATTAATGGGGTGGCATCAAATTAAAAAGCTGCACAGTAAAGAAATCAATTAAGAATGTCAAGAGAGAGCCTATAGAATGGAGAAAATCTGCTAGCTAAGCTACTCTTCTGACAGAGGATTAATATCCAGAATATATAAAGAACTCAAAAAAGCTTAATACCAAAAAAACCCCATAATTAATAGATGGGCAAATGATTTAAACAGACACTTCTCAAAAGAAGAAATACAAATGGCCAACAAATAAATTTTAAAAATGTTCTACATCATTAGCAATTAGAGAAATGCAAATCAAAACCGCACTGAGATTTCATCTCATTCTAGTCAGAATGGCAGCCACCAGCAATACGAACAACAATACCTGCTGGAGAGGATGTGGAGGAAAAGGAACCCTTTTTATACTGTTGGTGGGACTGCAAATTGGTACCATTACTACGGAAATCAGTACGGAGGTTTCTCAGAAACCTAGGAATGGAAGCACCATATGACCCAGCTGTACCACTCCTTGGTATTTATCCTGAAGAATTAAAGTCAACTGACTACAGTGACCCATGCTCATACCATGTTTATAGCAGCACAATTCACAATAGCCAAGATATGGAACCAGCCAGGTGCCCTTCCATGGATAAATACATAAGAAAAATGTGATATATATGCACAATGGAGTTTGGTTCAGCCTTAAAAAGGATGAAATTATGTCATTTGCAGGAAAACGGATGAAACTCGAGAACATTATGTTAAACGAAATAAACCAAAATCAGAAATTCAAGAGTTGTATGTTTTCTCTCATATGCGGAAGCTAGAGAGGAAAAGAAAGCGGGGGTGGGGGGGTGGGTTTGTCCATGAAAATGGAAGGGAGATCAGTAGAGGAAAGGGCCCAGGGAGAGGGAGGATGGAAGGGAAAGGGAAATGCTGTGAATGACTATGGACGGATTATGTTGGTATGTTGTGTGCACGTATGAATATGGAACAACAAATCCCGCCATTATGAGCAATCAGCATGCGCCAATACAATGTAGAAAAAAGTAAAATGACTAATTCAGAGGCTGGGGGTGCTACTCAATGCTGGAGCATGTGCTTAGCACACACAAGGCCCTGGGTTCCATTCCCAGCACCAAAGAAAGAAAAAGAAAAAATGTTATATATAACTTTTAAAAAACACTTTGAGAAATTGACCATGGTGGCTGTTTCTGAAAGGGTCCTGGAAGAACTAGAGACAGGAGTGGAGAAGAAACCTAATTCAGTCTCCACCTTTCCAACTTCTAAACCATGTAACCCATTCAAAAGTGTTATCGTAGCTGGGTTCTGTGGTGCACACCTGTAATATCAGCTACTTGGGAGACTGAGGCAGGAGGACTGCAAGTTTGAGGCCAGCCTCTGTAACTTATGGAGACTCTGTCTCAAAAAAAAAAAAAAAAGGAGGGGGGCCTGGGGGTTGAGCTCAGTGACGGAATACCCCTGGGTTCAATCCCTAGTGCCACATACACACAGAAACTGTTGTAATTAATTACAAAAATTTATTTGTAGACTGCACCACACAAAGTGTGAGTCCTAATGTAAACTCAGGAGTTTAGTTAATAACAATGTATTGACATGGGTTCATTAATTATTACAATTGCATAGCATTAATGAGATGTCAATAATAGGGGATCTACAGGGGAGAAGAGTGGGCACGTGGGGACTGGACTTTCTCTGAAACTTTTTTATAAGCCTAAAACCTCTCTAAACACAGGGTCTTTAAAAATAGTCTATGCCAGGGGTGAAGCTCAATGGTAGAGTCCCAAGTTCAAATTTAGCTCTGCCCCTCCCCAGGTGAGCCACCTGGGTGGAGCTGAGCCCTGTCCCTCTGCCCTCCTCTGCCAATCTGTGAAATGAGTTAGTAATAACAGGACCTGCCTTCTCGGGCTGCTGGGAGGGGTCAGTGAGACCAGGCATGGAAAGGCCTGGTCACAACCATTATTGCTCTTCCTGTGGCTGCTGCTTTATAAAAGTGGAAGAGAGTCAAAACTGTCACCTCAGAATGCTGTGGGCGGCTGGTATGCCCATCCTCTCTCTAAGCCAGTCCCTAATATCCTCCCTGATGCCTTATCTGGCAGTGGAGACTGGCCCTGCAGCATAGCCCACGCCCACGGCGCTCTGGTTTGTCAGGTTGGCCCAGCCAGCCACCAGATGGGGACTTGTTATACAAGGTGTGTGGGCTCCCTTCTCGGGAGAGAAGGAATGCAGGATTTGGACCACGGCTTAGTACCGGGCACCACACACATGGCCCTTCTTGAATGGCAGGTGTCAGCCCATGGCCTGGCATCCCATAGTTGGCCGGCCCCATCACCCCACATCCCGGCCAGTAGTCAAGGCAGTCTGTCTCCTGTCTGTCTCCTGGTACCCTCCTTGACTCTCTCAACACCAAAGGGCTGCCTTGCCCAGAGATTCTATCCCCCCAGGGTGCCAGACTCCAGAAGGTCCAGAAGGAGGGTGGTTCCAGGTCTGGGTGCTCTACACTAAGCACCTCAAATTTCTGGGGTTATGAGGGTCAACTATGACTAATAAAGACAGAACCAAGTCACCCAATGAGATGGGGAGAGTCTCACTGAAGCTTGGAAGCCTGCAGCTTCTTTGGGCCAAAGGAAATCATGGCAGAAAAAAGTTTTAAAACTACCTGTAATCTAGCTCGTTCTTGGGATGTCATTGTTTCTGGGTGCCATCCCAAGTGTGGCCACACCTGGACAAGAGCTTTATAAGTTTCAAATTCTACAAAGCTCTACCCTTAGCTGTGTGGCCTCAGGCAGCTCTCTGCACCTCTCTGAGCCTCGATTTCTTCATCTTAAGACAGGAACCATATTTCCTCATCTCATGACTGTGATGACATGTCATAGCTGTTGGCGTTGCCATCATATTCATTATTGTTACCTGGCCATCTGGGATTTGGAGAATCCAAGGTTTCTCGTGGAGGGAAGGGAGGAGGTGGAGTCCCATTTTCTGAATGTCTGCCAGGTCATCCAAGCCCCTCTATGGATATCAACCCAGATCACCGCCAAGACACCAGTCCAGAGCTAATGTTACTGCTCGGAAACCTAAGCTGGGTTATAAAGAGACACTGGGGCCATCAGAAAGTGGCCCAGGATTTGGGGGTCAGACAGGGCTTGTTTGTTCAAATCCCAGCTCCCCCACTGAGTGTCAAGGGACACATGCTCCTCCTCTCTGGCCTTCAGTGTCCTCACCTGTAAAATGAGGGTGGCAGGGAAGAGGGGAATTTCCTCCTCTTCAGGGCCGGCCAGAAGCTTACAAGTACTTAAGGAGGAGTTTGATGTCGCCAGCTCTGGATGGGCTCCCATCCAGGAGCCAGAAATGGGGGAAAGGGAGGAGTTCAGGAAAGAGAGCTTCACCCATGGGGTGGTGAGCGCTTTGCCCTGAGTGCCGGATCAGTATTCAGGGTGAGTGGGCAGACAGACCAGATGGGGTGCCCTGAGCTCAGGAACCTCCAGCCAGCCCACATGGAGGCCAGAGGCAGCCTCCTTTTAAAAAAAAGAAAAAAATCTCATTCTCTTCCTTCATGTCTCCCTCTCACCTCCAGCCTGAGATTCCACAGGTGGTGGCCCTCTGGTGGCTTTGCAAGGCCCATGCTGGCCAGACATCCAGGGGAATGAATCAGACCCCTGGGACACCAGATAGCATCTATCAGACAAATGTCACCCAGGACCAATTGCACGCTCTCACACAACCCTCACAGGCGACTCTGGTGGCCTGGAAGGAGACCTTATCACAGAAGGGTACTCGGAGCCTCTGTGTCTACCAAGGATGGGGAGAGGGTCCCGGATGGTTGTCGGACCACCGGAGTACACCCCGTCCGCAGGACGTTTGGCCTCCCCCTCAAGACGACACACAGTGGCGAAATGTCAGGGACTTCGGCCAACCCCCAGGAGGCGTCACAGCGCAGAGCTTGAGCCCATTTGGGATGTCCCGGCCAGGAAAGGTCCCTGTCTCCATCATGCACACTCAGAAAAATACACCAGGATTCCGAGAGCGCACGGGGCGGGGGCGACCGGTACACACCGCTGGTGTCCTGGACACGCAGCCGGGTCCGAGGTCCCCGTGGTCCCCGAGGCCGGCTGCTCGCTGCCTGCCGCCCCTCGCAGACCTGGCACCCGCCCCGCGCGCCCCGAGCCCCGCGAGCCTCAGGTCACGGCCCGGCGCGCTCCGGTTACAGCCCCGGCCCCGGCTCACTCACCCTCGGGTCTCGGCCTCCCGCCTGGACGCCGATCTGTGGGCGCCGCAACCTCGGCCTGGACCGCGCTGCCCCAGACCCAGCCCTTTAACCCCGCCCGGCGGCCAAGCTGGGGTTCCGCCCGGGACACGCCCCCGGACACGCCCCCGGACACGCCCCGGACACGCCCCCGAAGGCCCCACCCGGGTCCAGGAGGCCTCTGGGCTGGGACGGCAGCGCGGGCCCCGGAGATGGAGGGAACTGGAGACGGAGCCGCGGAGGCGTGGAGACAGACTGACAGGAAGGGAAACTGAGGCCGCGATGAATAAGGGACGGATGGAGACAGGAAGAAAGAGACTCGAGGACTTGGGCACCTAGAAGTCCCAAACCAGAGGACTCCCCACCCTCCTACCCCTGCTTGGCTCCCATTAGTGCCCCCTCCAACTCCAGCGTCTCTGAAGGCCCTCACCTCAAGGCTGGCCCCCAAGCCATCCCCTCTGAGACCCTACTAGCCCCCTCGGGGCCCTCAGGAGTTCTCAGACGCCACCAGCCCTTGGGAACCAACCCTTCTGTTCTCTCGGGGTCCAACTTGCCCCTCTGGGGTTCTGCAGCCAGCAGCAGCTGTCCCTCCTGGAAGACCCCTGGCCTTGACCAGCAGCACTTGACCAGTTCTGCCCCCCCCACCCCCAACCCTCCCTGCCCACAGCCAGACACCATGACCCTTCCGCCAGGATGTTGTCCTTGGCCAGCCCTTCTGCTCCAGATGTGTCCAGTCAACACTGCCCCTGGATGTGAGGCAGATACCACTCCTGGGTCGGTGGGGGGTGGGTGACTAACTTGGGCAAGTGGGCAGACAGTTGGGGGGACAAGTGTAAGAAGTTACAACTCCACCCGCCCCGACTTAGAAGATTCCTCTACCACTTTGCTTTTCAGTAATGCTGCTTCATTTGGCGCTTGGCCCTTGGAAAGTGGGGGGATCGCGGTGAACATGTTTCCAAAAGAAGAAGAGGAGATACAAATAATTGAAGCTTGGCTGCTTAGAGGACGCAGACGTGAAGGATGTGACATTTGAGCTGAGACTGCAGGGAGAGGTTGGATTTCAACAGGTGCAGGAGAGGGGGCGGGGCTCAGGTGGGGAGAAACTGGAAGGTGTGGCTTGGCAAGCTGCTTTCCCTGGCCTTGGGGTGTGAGAGGTGAGGAAGCTGAAGGGGCACAGGAGCTGGCTGCCAAGGGCTTTAACAGCCACCCTAAGTAGCTGGGACAATAGGGAGCCATGCATGGTGCTTGAGCAGGGAAAAAGCCTCCTGTTGACTAGTTTTAATTCACAGTAGAGTTTTTGTTTGTTTGTTTGTTTTCAGGGTTGTGGATTTGGTTTTGCCAGTGGTGCTGGCAAAAAGGAGCTCATTAGGGACACTGGAAAAGACTGAAATTTGAGAATTTGAGAGGGATCCTGGAGGTGGCTGAGGGGAACATGGATAAAGGGTGGGATGGTTGAGACCTAGGAAGGGATGAGCCGAGGCCCAGATCCTCAGCCACTTTGATCACTGGCTGGATGTGGAACTCTAAGAAGCGGAGAAGGAGAGGAAAAGAGGGGTTCTCCAGTTTCTCTGCTGTTAGAAAGATGGAGATCGGGAAGAGGAATGAGTCAAAGAGGCTGGTGGTAAGAAGCATTGACAGTTGACTTCCTGGCTCTGTGTCCTAGGGGAAGTCACATGTCTGTTCCATCCCTCTACAGATGAAATGGAGGTTATAGATGAAATGGATCATGAGATGAGGTGGTGTTTGCATTGTTGAGGGCATGAGCTGTATAAATATCAGCTCTTTGATTTTGGGGTCTGATTTGGGTTAGCCTAGGAATTCTCAACTAAAGCAGGTTTGGGCAATGTCCAGTGATACTTTTGTCACACTGGGGAAGGAGGGGGGGTGTCTACTGGCACGGAGTCAATACAGGCTGTAGATGCTGTTCAACATCCTGCAACACACAGAATGGCCCCACAACAGAGAGTGATCCAGCCCCAAATGTCAACAGTGCTGAGGTTGGGAAACCCTGGGCAGGTCACCTCCAGTCTAAAAGGCCCGTGGGATGCTCAGGGAGTCACCTGGGAGGCAGCTGGGCCCGTCATATGAGGACACAGCAGAGGAGTGTCTCTGAGTCACCTACTGTGGAAAGATGGCAGATCACTGGAAAGACGGGAGTGGGTAAATGAGGCCACTCAGGGAGGGAGGTGGACAGTTCAGAAGAGGATGAGAAGATGGAATTGTTGGTGACAGCAGCATTTGGAGAGAGGACCGGCAGAGGCGAGGAGCTGGGGGTGGAGATTAGGGAAAGGTGATAATAGGAACCATCACATGTACCCAGAGGTCAAGGAGCCCTGGACCTAGGAAGGAATGGAACTGCGTGGTGACCAGGTCACCAAAGTCATCAGAAGCAGAGGCAGTGGTTAGGCTTGGGAGGGACAGTGCAGCTGCTGGGGAAAACAATTTGGCAGTTTCTCAGAAAGTTAAACCTAAGGCTGGGGCTGGGGCTCGGCGATCCAGCACTTGCCTAGCATGTGTGAGGCACTGGCTTCGATCCTCAGGGCCACATAAAGTAATAAAAGAAAGGTACTGTGTCCATCTACAACTATCAAAAATAATTTTTAAGTTAAACATAAAATTACCATCTGACTCAGAAATTCTACTACCGTGTATAAACTAAAAAAATTACAATGAGAAAACAAGGACACATATCCATACATACACTTGTCTGAGAATGCTCCCAGCAATACCGTGTATGAGAGATGAAAGGTGGAAACGACCCAACTGTCCATCAACAGATGGGTGGATGGATAGATGAAAGTCGTCCATCCATACAATGGAATAATACTCAGTCATAAAAAAGAATGAGGTTTGGATGCATGCCACAATGTAGAAACCCCAGGACATTGTGCCAAGTGAGAGGAGCCGGACACAAAAGGTCATACTTGGTATGATTCCTTTTACATGAAGTATCCAGATCCATAAATTCAAGGAGACAGAAATAGCATAATGGTTGCCAGAGGTCTGGTGGAGGAGGAGCAAGGAGTGAAGCCCATGTCCAGGGGTAATGGTTGTGGATCTCTTTTGGAGGTAACTAGATAGAGATGATGGGTGCACATTGTGAATACACTAAATGCCAATGAACTGTACATTTTAAGGTGGTTAATATTTAGTTGGGCACAGTGGTACCTGCCGGTATTCCTGGCTACTTGGGAGGCTAAGGCAGGAAGGCAACTGAGCCCAGGAAGCAACATAGCCAGACCCCACCTCAAAGATAAATAAATAGCCAGATGTGGTAGTGCCTGCCTGTAAACCCAGTGACATGGGAGGCCAAGGCTTGAAGATCCCAAGTTCAGGACCAACCTCATCAATTTAGCAAGACCTTATCTCAAATAAAAAATAGAAAGGACTGGGGGTGTAGCTCAGTCATAGCGCACCCCTGGGTTCAACCCCCAGTACCAATAAATAAACAAATAAAATAAAGTAGTTCAGTTTATTTACATGACTTTCATCTCATATTTTTAAAAATATTTTCTGGGCCATGGGTTGCAGCTCAGTGGTAAAGCAACTGCTGAGCATGTGCAAAGCCCTAGGTTCCATCCCCAGCACTGGAAAACAAAAAGATTTGGAAGGAAACAAATGTAACACTCAGCGGGATAAGTTGAAGATGGTTTAAGATAAACTCTATACTCAAAGGGATAGTGTAGCACCCTGGGGGCTAGAACCAGCCAAGAGCTCTATCAGTTCTAGGACCCAGGGCAGGGGCTTAAGCAGTTACTGGAACAGGAACCAGAGAGGGCTCTGTGGAGAGGGCTGCCTGGAAGGAGCTAGGAACCTTCAGTCCATGGACAAAACCAGCCTGCGTGGACTACAGGAAAGTGATGAGGCATAAATGCCCAGCTTCACGCTCCCCCCCCCCACCTCCAGTGCCTGCTGTGGCTCCCTATTAGTTGAAACTAGCCAGAAGCCTCAAGGCAAAGGACCATTGAATGGTTCATACAGGTCAGCC